TAAAAAAAAACTAGATTTGTTTGTATGTGCACAAATAGTTTGTTTTCTTTTAATAACCTACAAGCATACAAGCAACCTTTATATTTGCTTGACACCATAAAACACAATCGCATCAGTGTGTGTCAGAAATTAAGCAATACAGACATGACAACAAACACTCCTAATGCTTATGCGCCTGAGCAGATATCGCTTTTAATCAGGTCTATGATGGAGAAAGAGAGTGAGTGAATGAGAAACCAGGACTATGAGATGGTTGAGAGACTGCAGCTGCTGGCCTGTAATATTCCTGCTCTTACAATTTTACATCTGAATTGGCAGGTTACTGTGAAAAAAAAAAAAACATGCATTATAATATTTGATTTTGATTGGTCTGTTGTGACATTCATGTGTGTATAAATGTCCATCGTTTATAGTACACTGAATAACATACATCATCCAGGTATTAGAGACTGTTCTCATACAAACACAGCTGCTGCCATCTTGTGTCTTTTGTTATCCATGTTTGAAAATGAAATCAAAGGCTTCAGCATTAAAATACTATTATGCAATTAATGTGTTTTGTACACTGTAGTGGATTAAAGAAAAATAAACATGACATCTGAAAATCGTTCACCTCAGATCAATAACTTTTTTCGTATACAAAAACATTAAATGTTGAAATATTTTTGCTGCTTGTTCAAATTACTACACAATTTGTAAGATTAATTTGAGGACAACTTAATTGTTTTATGTTCAATCCACTTCCATTTGTTAAATTAATTGAATTATTGTTTGGATAACATGAATGAATCATGTGGAACCCTGCTCTTTTTATTACAGTGTAGTAAGTGGTATCACTGCACCATATCGCTAAAATGTTTGTATATTTCAATGTGGTCATGTAATTGGCCCATGAACATTTCCTGTTTGTTATCAAACTATTACTGTAACAAGAAGCAATTTAATCATAACCTAATGTTAAAACAGCTCTCATTACATTATTAATCAATGTGGCCCTTTTTAGATTCTCAGGAGCTATAGAAAAAATAAAAATAAAAAGTAAAACAGGAAGTATGTTGTGACTATTGTTTGTTTACATCCCTCAAAATGGTCTATAACTTTACAATTTTAAGGATAAGTGCCTTGTGTATCTTTAAATGCAAATGAGCTGCTTTTCTCCACCCTTTTCGAGAAGAGTGCGGTGCCTTTACAGCTTGCAGACTCCAACAACAAAAACATTGAAGTTTAAACTGCGGATATCTGGGTTTAATTTCAGTGCCAGATAAAAAAATAAGTAACAGATCAGTATTGTGAATAACTAGACTTTGTACTGTCAATTTGCAGATAACTTTCCTCCTCAAATACCAACTTAATACATTTTTTTTTTAAGTAAATAAACCATTAATGGACTAGTTCAGGGGTTCTTAACCTTTTTTACTTCGAGGCCCACCTCCTTCTGCAAAATATTTTGAAAGCCCACCTGTCTGACCTTTTCTTCTAAACTGATTGTCTCAGGAAAATGCTGGTTTTAAACTTTGATTTATTAGCAAGACATTTATTTTGCCTTCTACTATTATTCTCTAGTTTTTCTACACCATAATAATATATATTCATTTAAAAAAAAACACAGTTTCAAAACTCCTGAATTCATTCAGTTATTCTTGACAAATGCCGAGTATTTGGGCGTTTTCTTCAATAAATGAACAATTGTCCTATTGATTGTTTTGTCTTGATAGTTTGTGAATCAACTGACTTGTGCAGCTCTGATGCAGTATGAGTCGCAGACATGAAGCACTTGGAGGCTGAGTATTGTAACTCTAATCAACATTACTTTTACATTTGTGTGACGGGTTGCTTTATACAACTGAGAATGTAGTCCTCGTTAACGTGCAGCGGTTGGAAGTTTAAGCCACGTTTATGTCTGTATTTAACAGTGAGACAATCCCAGAACATGGGAAATTTCATTACTTCGATCATTTTAATTTGACATATTTAATAATTAATCAAATAATTATAGTAGAATATTTAAGTCAACCTATTCCGTTGATGGCTGATTTTCAGTAATATATTCTAAATTCTAGTAATGTTTATTATTCACTTAATATAATCAAAAATAGTTTTCTTAAAAAATATTCCACAAAAGGTGAAATTAACATTCATTTGAAATATAATTCTAAAACATTTTGAACAAAATCACTATAGACAGTCAATTAATTTAATCCATCGCTGCTTAATCAGTTTACTTCAAAATAAAACTTACCGATCCCAGACTATTGCACAGTAGAGCAGGTGGTGTTTAACAGCGTAAGTGTAATACTATTATGCAAAAAAAAAAAAAAAAAAAAAAAAAACCAGCACTCACTCTATTGACCTTATTATTTAATGCTGATGTGCCATCGTTTTTGCGATTGTTTTAGAATTTCCAATTCTGTTGCCTATGGGAGAAATGACTAGGAATGATAAATGGTAGAAAACGGTCAAACTACTCACTCTATAAACAAGTGTGTTCATGACTATACAGACAAAGCAGAACAATATAATAAGAAAATATCACTTTGCAACTTTAAGCAGCCTAACGAGCTGTTTTTAATGTCTAAAGTAAAGTAAATAAAACCCAAAAGTCTCGTACATAAAAAAAATAAGGTCAATTAAATCTCTAAAAGTGAACAACCACACCTTTAATGCAAGCGTCACATCACATCACTGCCCCTGAAGTCCGGCTCATTTACTTACGTAACACAGCTTAAGGTTAATTTTAGAAAAGTCTGACGCTCTAGACATGGCCTGTGCTTTGAGCTGAGATTAAGATCAGAGATGAGTGCAAAAGTCATTTCTCATGAAACATATACAGTTGAAGTCAGAATTATTAGCCCCCCTGTTTATTTTATTACCCAATTTCTGTTTAACGGAGAGAAGATTTCTTTACCACATTTCTAAACATGATAGTTTTAATAATTCATTTCTAATGACTGGTTTATTTTCCCTTTGCCATGATGACAGTAAATAATATTTTACTAGACGTTTTTCAAGACACTTCTATACAGCTTAGTGGCATGTAAAATAGAAATATAAATTAAGGGTTTTGGTTTTTTTTAACTAATGTGAATTAGGCCCGTCACAATATAGATTTTTTTGTTGTTGTTGTATGATATATTGCACCGAAATATATTCTGATAAACAATATTATTGTCATCGTCAACCATTTTATGCCACTCATTATAATATGCCAGAATGACAATATAAAGGCATCACAATGCAAGTACACTCTTTCAAAGAACACATCATATTTCACTCTTAAAAATATTTCATTTAATTAGTCATTTTAACAATTTTATATAAATAATTGGAATCAGAATGTGAAAACGCATATCCTAAATAAATAGTAATTGTTAACAAAGAAGTGTGAAGTAAAAAGTAACAGAGGCTGCGATATCTGCTACCAAATCTATTTTCAGTTGTCAGACACCCACATGAAAAAGCAATTCATAGTAAATACTACAGTGTTTTTTTTTTTATTTTACTGACACTAACACCTCCAATAGAGATAAATATGTTGCACAATGAGCTAAAATGCACACTTGGTTTTTATGTATGGAGAATAAATATTGCATCACCAAAAAATGATTGTGGTCATGTCCATGTGAGAAGTTGCTATGAGGAGTTCAGAAGCAAAACCCTCTAAAACCATCAGACATCTTTTCTTGTAATTGAGCATTTTCTATCAGGCTCCTCTGATTACGTTCAGAAGTTTTACAGGTAATAAAAAGGCTATTAGCTAATAAATAAAATCACTTTCTTTTAAAATGTCACTTTAGACAATTCTTTGGTTTTTACCAAAGTTGATTTTTCTTTTGCGTCAAAACCAGCTAAATCCACTTCTGCTTTGTTTTGCAAAACCCTCTAAATCCACCTATTGGGACAAGACAGTGTAAATTAATCAGTGAAATGAGTCAAGTGAGTGCATTAACATTAAATTGACATTAATAAAATATTAATCTGCTGTCATTTCTGATATAAGATTTAGATTTAATGCAAGTAGAACAATGTAAACATTGCAAACATTGTAAACTAAACTTAGATTCAAATAAATGTAGTGTGAATAATGTATGTGTTGTGCAGTGTCCGTTAATATAAAAAGCTTATCAGACATATAGGTAATATGAAGTACTAAAAATAATGTAAAGTTTAATACATTATATTTATCTTTTGTAAAAAATAGCTTAAAATAGCAAATAAAACACAAGGTGGGCTACTGGGCAAAAAGGAGATGCCTCTCAGACAATTTTAGAAGCTGTTATTCATTTATTCTTACCATACTCAAGGTCTTGCCCTTTTTTTCCTTCTCGTTTATCCTGATAGGATCTATGTGGGATATAAGAATAGAATCTTAACTTCGTCTTTTGTGAAACGAAGTTGTCGTTTAATGTATAGTAAATCACACTTATTCTAAGTAACGTCGCTGCGCAAAAATACGTTATGAATGCATGTTACACTTCGGACTGTACAGTGTGTTTTCTTTATCTTATAATGCACAGAGTTTTGAGGTTTTCATTTGCCATTCACTAACAGTAGGACAGGTGTATGCAGTTCATCGAACTCCATCTAAACTGAAAGCTGAATAATAACGTCTCCTCATAAAAGCCAGCATATCAGCGCACCATTACATTGAAAACATATGATTCGATTGCCGCCATCAGATTGGTTCTCGGGACATAGCGGCTTTTGCTGTCGAAGGCAAGTGGCGTTTAGAGGCTTTTGCCAACAAACTGTTAATTCTGATTGGGCTGACGCTGCGATTTAGATGATTTGAAGCAAAACTATTTGTTGAACTTGTACTACGTGCCAAAAGCATTCGCTCAATGTCATTAGCTCATTTTGGCAGAAGTGGAGTTTAGCAGCTTTTGCATCTGAACTCCTCATACATGGATTAATGTAACAGACCTAATGTGAATTGCTCCAACAACTTCTGACATTTCACTCTAACAATTCACTATTTCTTCAAAGGGACTTTGGAGTCAATCGATGAATAGATATAGGCATTTATTTGCAGTCAGGAGGCATGGATAAAACAGGAAGACAACTCAAAATCATTAAGTCTATGGCCATTAAAAACACATATGGGTTAGAGACAAACACTGAAAAAAGAAAACCTCAAAGGCCGATCCCTCAGTTCTAAAGAGAACTTCACCAGGATGCACCTCCAAAAACACACACACACCTCTATATAAAAGAGCTCTGCAATATCGGACAAAGATATACTTCAGAAAGGACCAAGTAAAAGACTCGCCCACACATCATGTGCAGTTCACTTAAAGATTCAACAAAGCACGCTAGCTTGACATCATTTTTAAAATGTGATTTTTAATTCTGTACATGTAATAAATGTGATGACAAGGTATTTAGTGTTGATTGCTTTTAAGGTCACAATCCCGCATGTGCTTGACGTCACTCGTTTGAGAAAAAAAAAAAGGGGTTAGAAAGGGTCAGTTTCTAAATGAGTCCCACACTTCACTCATTCAGCACAGGCTTCCATTGCACAAAGATGAATAATACTCCAGAGCAGAATAAAAATGCACCTGCCCCAGAACCACAAACCTTCAGAGTCAGATCATACTATGAAATCATAACTGATACATAACCAAGCAAATACAGGTTACTAACAGACCGTACAGTAAAGAACCAAACAAAAACTTAAAAAAGGGAAATGCCAGCCCGATTCTGTAATATATGCCCAATTACTGAAGGATCTTGACAATCCGCAACTCCCTGTAGAAATCCATATTCCTCATCAGGACCTGGAAATGACACTAACGTACCAGTTTTAAGCATATCTGTTTCTAATGCAGAATGAGGGTGATGGAGGAGAAATAACACAGATAATATTCCTCCCAGGCTCTTGAACAGCTTTCCCTCTGTTTGTTTAAAGATAAGTCGATGCATAGAATTTTTATATTGAATGTGTTCTCAGAGTAAAAGACATTTCCAATGATTAACAGCACACTTCAAGCTCCCACAGAGTCCGCTAGGTTTTTCGCACACATTAAAAAGGTGAAAATGACAACAGCTGGACATAATCGACAGAATAACGGACCCAAAAGAAGAGAGGATCAATAAGGCCAAGGTTGAGAAAGAGGGAAATCAAACGGGAAACTGAAGCTAAGCAGAAAGAAATACAAATAACTGGACATGAATATATTTTGTTCTAAAACATCTTTCCATTCACACTGGAATAAAGATAAGGGACTTCATTTCACTGTATTCGGAGTAGCTCTAGATTTATCTTTGATGCTAGATTAGATAATGGTCATCTAGAGACCATTAATCAGTGCTAGTGTTTCTCACAGAACACCCAGTACAATCAACATCGACGTTCACAGTCAAACACACTCTTAAAACCCGCTAGCAGTTCATTTCATAATGCGGTTTAAGCCCTAATTGTGGTTTCACATCCTGATCCCAGATCAGCTGTAGAGCAGTAATAACAGCACATCTCACTCTCTATCACACACACACACAGTCTCACAAGCCTGTCATCAAAAGAAAGGGAGAAGGTCTGGTCAAAACTCCCACCACTAAAACCAAAAGAACAGTGTGATCTGACGGAGCAACATTAATTCCGTTAGAGGTGGCGTCATCCTCAAGAGTCACGGCGGATGAGATTATATTTGAGGAAGAGAAGATGATGGGCAAAGGGGGTTTTGTTTATTATGTTAAATAAAAAGTTAAAGCGCTTCTGAGTACAGAGCTGAGGAGGAGGAGGAGAGAGGGGACCTGACACTCAGCTCAGGAGCTGACGAATCTCCTTGTGCATGTGACACAGGAAGTCCACATAAGACGCTCCACCGTTGTTGCTCTTATCCTCTACTAGGAAGTGCTTGAAGATCAGCTCCAGCTTGTCTTCCTGCTTCACCACCATGAGCTGAAAGAAAACAAGAGGGTCGATTCATACATTCTTAAATTGTAAATTAGTGGAAGAAACAATTAACAGCAGACATGTAATAAAATCTAATTTATTCATTTACTTTTTCTTTCAGAACTCAAGCACCATTGACAGTAGAGCATTTTTATTATACAACGCATACTGTTTTAGTTACAAATGTGCCTGGTAACCACACTATACCAGCATCTTCAAAACAGAAAAATAAAGTATTTTGAAAATGCTAAAGACTTTGGGTGTGATGAGACGCTTACTCCATGAGACGAGATGAGACAAGATTGGGTTCACGAGAACGAGACAAGATTTTTTACAGTATTTTTAAGAAATCTTTAATGATGAAATACATAAATGGAAAGTATTTTATTAAACTGAAAATGTATCACAAATTACAAAACTATTAAATCAAGTTATTATTAATGTTATTTTACTTCTATTTTAACCAATTCTATGCAGTAAAGGACATGCAAACACTGCAAAATATTTGCTAATATATGAGTGGAAAATAGACTTTTATTCAACTGAAAAAAAAAGAAATTAAATTTAGGTGCTTTTTTAAATCAACTTGTAATGAATGTTATTTTACATTTATTTTAATGAATTGTGCCATAAACGACATGCAAACACTGCTAAATATTTAGCTATAAACTCTACAGGCTGGCTTCTTCCCTGCACAATTTCACGTAAGAATCAAACTTCTTTCCACAAATTAATTTTTTTTTTTAAATGTATGTAATCATGTCATTTTTGGTTTTTAATTTTTCAACAGTTTCACTTTCATTCAGTGTACACTTTATAACCTCATTCACATCACCCTTGCTACGTTGTTCACCTTTTTAGCAATCAAATAAAAACATGATATAAGGAACTGCCTATTTTCATTTTGAATTTAACTTAACAGACACCAAAAATGTTGAGGCGTCGTGTAGCTAGATATTTATATAACCGTCATCTTCACTGTATGCATATTCATAACAAAACAGAGGCGATAACATTACTGCCTCCTTTTTATTTTCATTGAAAACATGAAACATACCCTCTCTTTTGCTGTATATCAGTTTTAATAATCAATAATGGCCATTATAAAAGTATAACATAAAATAAGTTTAAACATTATAGAAAATAAATGCAAGCAATCAATCACACGTGATGAATCAGTGTACGAGGTTACATTAATTGATATATTAACTTATCTTTGAGCTCAGCCAAAATACATTTCCTGAGAACAAGCAATAGGTTCAAAAGACCCTATGCGTTTTCAGCAGTATAATGTGGATGGGGAGCTTTTCAGAAACACTGGGTGAAATGCCAGAGTGGACGTGGACCGTTTTCATTCTAAAACCCCTTTTAAAACTAAAACACATTAATGTAAACAGGGCCTAAATTTCTTCTTAATTGCTATTTTTTTGTTTAAATGACAACTTAAAACTTTTATTTTGTTCATTTACGTGGTCCTTCGTCTTTTCATAGCGCAGAATAATTACCGACTGAACATTAATCTGGACGGAGAACTACTTTCTGTTTTCGCTATCCCTATGCCAAGCATAAATCCTGGATTATCTTATGACTTCATATTGCTAAAGCTTGCATTACTTTGCTACCAATAAAATCACTGCACTGAAGAGTAAAAAAGGAACACAAGTCACCCAAGCAAACGAAATTTTCAGTTCTGCAAGAGCATAATATCAAGCCGTGACGTATTTACCTTCATGTATCGTGAGCGCTGTGCCCTGATGGACTCGATAATCTCCTTCAGTCTCTTTGAAAAAGGATTATCCAAAGCCGGCAGAGAGGTCTAAACCAGCAAAACACACACAAAAAAATTGCCAATGTGCGCATAATATTTAAAAAAAAAACATACAGCATGCAAAACTAGTTCAAGAGTCCTGGGTTAAATGAATCAAGTCTAATCTCTACTCACAAGCGATACTCTGTGCTACAAAGCTACTTTTGCATTCATGTAAAACCAAACAATTTATGCTTAATATGCATGTGATTTACATAAAACATTCATAAGGGGTCGTACCATGCTGGGGTCTATCTGACTGAAGGCAGGTGTGCCAAATATGTTCTGAAGCAGTTCCTGTTGGGCATTGACCCCGACCCAAATGAAAATGTTCAGTCCGTTCTCTAACAGGTAGACTCCTCCTCTAGACAGTCGCTCCTCGGAGTCTCTGACTGCCAAAGGCAGAGACGTGCTCTCCGCATCTAGCTTTTGCTGCAGAGAAACAGTGGACATACCGTAACCACAACAGCTCTATTACAATATCAAATGGGGTGATATTATTGTGTTTGTCTCTCACCAGCGGAAGCAGCCGAGGGTAGAAGAACACATGGCTCTCTGCCACATCCATAGCGCTGACCAGCTGTCTCAAGTAGGCACGGTCATCCAGGGAGACATCTGCCCCGGGCTGCAGAACGTCACTCTTCAACACGCAGTTCAGATATACAGGCAGCAGCTTCATACATTCTGGCAAAATCAACTGCACACAGACAAGAAAATTATACAAGATTGCATTTTTTTAGAGATGCTGTCCTAATAGAAATGTGTATATCAGTGCTATTCGAATGACTCATAATAACAACTAGTGATATCATGCTTCTGTAATTCACATCTAACCGGTAGCCATTTACATCCATAGTATTTTTTTCTACTAAGCCGGTCAATAGCCTGTCAATTCTTCAATACAGTGGGGAAAATAAGGAACACGTCACCACAGGAGCTGTTGACTTGAAATTTTCACCAGATGTTGGTAACAACCAATAAACCCAAATATGCAAAGAAAACCATTTTAATTAGTTTACAAATGAAGTTATGTGTAACCAAATAAAATAACAGGAAAAAGTATTGAACACATGAAGAAAGGGAAGTGAAAGGCAGTGAAAGGCCAGACAGCAGCTGAAATCTCTCAGTAGTTATTCAGCAACCCTCTGCCCTTTGTCAGTGTAAATGAGTATTGGCTGCTTCAGTCCAACATCTACATTATCAGGAGGATGAAAAGGAAACCAGGGTGGACATTTCAGCAAGACAATGATACAAAACACAGGCAAGGGAACTTTTAAATGCTTTCAGAAAAAGAAAATCATCCTGTAGAATGGTCCAGCCAATCAACCCAATTGAAATTACACATTAAAGCTCAGATTTGATAGGCGAGACCCACAGAACCATCAAATTTTCACACTCGGTTGAAGTCTGTGAAAACCTCACACCTGAGCAATTCATGTCACTTCATTCACCATATGAGACAACTTTAAGCTGTTGTAACCAAAAAAGCCTTTTATATAAAACATTAAATACAGTTCAGTGCTTTCTCCTGCTGTCATTCCATTCCAATGTTATTACACAACTCATTTTTCAGATTTTTTTGTACCGTTTTATTTTGTTTATATTGTTTGGGTTTTTACCAAAATCTGGTTCAATTCCATGTCAACAGCTCCTTCAGAATATCCCCCTCCCACACCCCCCAAAAAACATGACATGTTGAATACTTTCTCCAACACTGTATACTTACATACTCAAATGTAAAATGATGTTACAATTTGGAAATAGCTCTTGTAAAAATTTTAATTCTTGAAAAGTTGTTCCAAAACATATGATGTTTTAGTGTGCGGGTTATGACAGTAGGATATATCCAATATTCACCTGCCCTGCTGAAGATGGACTGGCACAGTTCTTTCGGTAACAGGCCAAGATCTGTGCACACTGATTCACCAGGCTATCACGTACATTCTTCGTAGGACTGCTGAGTACACTCCGATATGCTGGAAACACAACATCAACTTTTACATTGTTCAAAATAACATTTAAAATGTCCTATACTGTGCTAAACAAGTCAACTTTGTGTAGTTTGAGAGTGAGTGCTCTGAATTGGGTTTAGGCGCAATTCAGTTGACCGGCCCTGGCCCAGTTAAGCCTGGTTTATACTTCTGCGTCAAGTGACCGGCGTAACCCACGGCGCATGCAACGCCCGTAGCTGTGCATTTATACTTCTGCGCGCTGTCTCTGTTGGTCTGCATTAACACTTCCGAAACGCTAGTTGGCAGTGAGGTGTAAATGTTCCTCTGTGTCGAGTTTCTCGCTCGTGTTTTGCTTTTCCTGAACACTTCCTGGCAACACAAGTGGCTCAAACTCGCTCATTTTGAGGCAGGAACAGGCGGACGTGCAAGAACTTTAACTATGAGGTAAATACACAACAAAACTTTCCATCCGGAGCTCCTTCACGGGACTCCACAATCGCTCCATTGGGCTAGCGCCGCTTGCATGGCTCTCGGTCCCGCCCAGACTCGTCAGCGCTACCAAGCTGACCAATCACAGAGCTTGCGCTACGCGTTGTTGCGACGTGTAGTTACATTTTTTGAGAGGTGCACGTCAGTGATGCCGACGGCCAAGGCGAAAGGCTATGCGTCAGTGCTGTAGCATACGCCGGCGTTTGACGCACAAGTATAAATCAGCCTTTAGAAGAGGTGTGCCAGAGCAAAATTCACTTGGACTGACACGATATGCTTGTAGTGTGAGTGCAAAGCGCGCCTGAGCCCGAAACTGAAGACAAAACGTGACTTTTAAGGTACTGATTTATATGGATTTATTAATCAGTTTTACTGTTCAATGAACGCAAACATTCATAGTTTATTAAAGACGCAAACCCCTCACTGCACAACAGCTGCACTTTCAGCCAACCTGATCTGACTGAATTGTTCGGCGAATTATTTGACTGTTTGTCACTGCATAACAAATGACTAAAATTATATAACTAAAGAAATCTCCACTGGGCTGAGTTAGAGCATTTCTCTTCTGTTAAACTGACCAGCGCATCAATGACATACGCGTGCTCCAGCTCTGTTGCAATGTGAGTGCAGGCTGTCAGGGCAGAAGGGAGGGAGGACAAGCGTGCTTCGGCCTGCCTTATGCGCAGTCAGGCATTTATACTTCTGCATGCTGGTTGTGTTACTCTGCAATAACACTTCCGCTACCCTTAATGAACAAGTAGCTAAAACTCGGGGCAAGAAAAGGGGCAAGTGGCGTTTTATGTTCCTCTGTGTCGGGTTTCTTCGCAGGTGTTTTGTTTTTTCTGAATGCTACCTTAATGAACAAGCAGCTAAGACTAGTAAAAGTAGGCGGAAACCGGCAGACGTGCAACAACTTTAATCATAAGGTGTAAACAAAAAAAAAGTTTCCATCTGGGGCTCATCGATGGGACTCCACACTTGTAAACACTCACTCCACCAGGGTCGCTTGCTCTTCCACGGCTCTCTGTGCTGCCCACACTCGTCACCGCTTTCAAGCCGACCAATCAAAGCGCTTATGGGCCATGTCTCGAAGTGTAGTTACATTTTTTTTGAGAGGTGCGTGTCAGCATCGGCCACGGTGAATGGTGTGTGACTGCGCAAAGGCTGCACCAGACCATATGCGTGTGCTCAACGCAGAAGTATAAACAGAGCAGGGTCATGTGACTATACACTCCGCACTACTTTATAGTAAAAGTAATCGAAAAAAAATTGTCCTGGGAAAAACTAAAGCGATTATAGGATCCGAATGTCTATTTCGATTACTTTGATTAATAGCCCAGCCTTATCAAATATATATATTTTAATTACAACATATTTAAATCATGCAACTAGAAAGAAAAAGGGAGAAAAAAACACAACTAAATAAAAAAAAAAATAATAATAATTTTTTTTTGGAGTAACTGATCTTGCCCATAGAGAAAAGGTGTTGTTCCGATCGGTGAGTGGTTTCACTCACCATATTTGACGAAGAAGTTGATGATGGTGTCAGTCTCACAGTTCCTGTACAGGTCTGCCAGCTGAGAGCAGCAGTTGACTGCCATGTTATGGACCCGTAGCCGTCGCTGGCCACTGCAGCTGGTGTACAGAACAGCACACTGAAACAAAATACACACAGTACAGGGAAAAAAAGGTGAGCACAGCTTAGATCATTAAATGCCGAGGGACTGAATTCAGTGTAGCTGACACTTCTCATGTGTGTGTAAGACTAGACAGACCTGCATGAGAGCTCCAGTCTCCTCGCTGAGCTTGTCGTCATGTCTGAACTCTACAGTGACGGTCTTGTCACAGTCTAGTCCTGCCAGCTCTACATCTGTAGTGTTGCTCATATAGAAGGAGCCGAAGAAGTCTGTCGCCCGGATCCCTGTCACAGCACCACAGAGAAGTTAAACTCACACTGTAAACCATTTTAAAACAAAGATTCTATCTCTTTGAAAGAGGTCTACTACTAAGAAATGATTACTAATATACATATAAATAAATGTATAGCCTGAATGTGGCCTTCATGTTTCTTTGCTGCTTCTTATGTGTGTACATTTATTTATTTATATGTGCATGTATTTATTATATGTATTTACAAACCCACACAAAACAATCACATGCTTGTCAGTTTACTCAAGTATTCATGTAGTTTTTTTTGTTCTATTGTTTGTCTCATTTATACCTGTCATTTCTTGTTTTTTTCTAGCATTCTCTCGTATTTTACAATTCTATCCTGCTATCATCCTGTAAAGGTATTTTCCCATATTTCTCGTTTTTTTTTTTATCTTTCCATGAGCCAAACATTAATGAGCCGAACCACCAGGGGACTTCCCTTCCTCTTAAATGAGAATCTGTTCTGTGCTTTAATTTTATTTAGGCATGAAAACACTTTGAAATAAAGATAATAATGGCAGGATTCCCTTCCTTTCCATTACAGGCACCGCTGCCCTTTCAATGCCATCCTCAAAACAGTCAGTTCATGTAGCAATGTGTAAGTGTCAGACGCGCTCCACAGTGACAAATAGACGCTGTTTCCCAAATGGATTCTGTAAACGTGATTTAAAGCGAAGGTGGACACTCTGGGTTTAGGGTGCATGTTTGAACAGACATATACACATAATAACATCTAAACATGTCGATCTTGGTGGGTTTTCTGTTAAACACAAACAATTTGGTCTTAAATGAGCATACAAGGTTAAGAAAGCAGTTGGATTCTTTCATTATGAATCTGTGCATTTTTAAAGTGACACCTCTGTTATTTAATGTGATCAATCGAAAAATTTCAGTCGTTGCTCTATAATCAGAATGTTTTAATTATACTGTGAAAAGGTTATTGAGATTTGATACCTTGATTCAATTTCTTTATAATAGCTATTAATTTAGTATTAATAGGCTAAACTGTTTGCCAATTTATTTGTAGCCTTTTCTAATGTATACTACTTATTCGATCTTTGTAAATAATAATAAAAACATATTACTGACTGTTTCAACTGTTTATTTACAGTGAAAGAGACAGATGAACATATTTAGTAAACTGGAATTTTTTTAGGGGTGGGGCTCCCTTATTTTCACATCCAAATGTTGGCAGGTACGGTCTCATTGTGTCATATTCACAAATGAAACAAAAAAGACATGCAAAGATGTTCATATAGGGTATATGGCGAGCTATTGTTTTACCCATACTGAAAAACTTCCGGTGCATTGATATTGCGAGTTTTTTCCATTTTATATGGTTCCTTTTACAGCATCGATGTTGTAATGTCATTAAAATACAATCAGTTAAACAGACTTTGGCATTCATTTAGTTGCTCAAGTGTAAAACGAGACAAAAAGCCGTTTGCTTGCACGCACCCGTCAGAATCGGCAGGTTAGCGCAGAAGCTCTATTGAATATACTGGGGTAAAATAAATGCTCATATTATAAAGACATGGCATAATAAATTTAATGCAGTGCTTCTTGTACAATCTGAGAACCACTTTTTATCAGATATCACTCAGCCAGTGGAGATCGCTGATTTTTTAAGAGAAGAGACCTTAAACGCGCCCATTATGCATTGGCATACAGTTCACCGGTAACGATTAACTCAGGTTACAGGCAAATTAAAAATCCTATTAGCATACTTCAGCATATACCTTATTTGAAGAAGAATGTGCTCTTTTTAGGTGAAAAATAAATATATTAAAAATATTTTTGGATTATGGTCACTTTACAGTAAGGTCTCGTTAGTTAATGTGTTTACTAACAAGAACTAAAAATGAACAATACCAATATCATAGTTTTTACTAATGTACATTTACTAATGTATTTTTAAATATGCACTTGAGTTAACATGAACTAACAAAGAACGACTGTATTTTCATGAACAAAGACAGTGATCAATGCAATGTTCATTGAGGGTTCATGTTTTTAAATACATTAACTAACATTATCTAACACAACCTTACTGTAAAGTGTTACCAGAAATATTTCTTCAAAGATCATTGAAGACAAAGAATGGCCATAAAGCAATAGCTGTTGAAAATTCTGCTTCATCACCAAGAAAGGACATTTTGAATGGTGTAAATGGGATAAAAAAAAATAAAATAAAGCATTTGCAACTCGGAGGCTGCATCTTTCGAAGGACACATTCAAAGGCCGACTGAGTCACATTGGCATGATGAAGGCTGCCCCAATTTAAAGTCTCCTTCAAACACAGCCTCCAGATGCATCCTTTGATTCCCAGGAAATGAAAGACACAACAGATGGATCCTTCTCGCCCAGCCTATTACAAGATTCATTGCATGCTGGTGACAATGGAACATGAGCCGTTACGGTTTAATTGTGTTCTGTTTTAGCTTGATTGAAAGCCAAAAGGTAACAAATAAAATATATTTCATGAACTGGCAAACAGTGCTAACATTTGATAGAAATCTATAATGATAGATAGAGATTTGATAGATATCTATAATATTTTATATGTACATAAATGGCACCGGTGAACAAGTGTACAAAAAGCGAAATGATCTGCCATCAGGGCAAGAAAAAAATAATATTCTTTTGACTTTGAAATGTAGAAAAAATTTGAAATGCAAAAACATTTTTTTGCATAAATTGTATAAATTCTGTTTAATAATTAAATACAAATACACCTCGAATAGGGCTGGACAATAATTCGATATTAATATATATCACAGTTGAATTTTTTTTAATAATGGTGACAGGAGTTTTAAACACATTTCCGGTATTTCGATAAAAATATGCGTTTGAAATTTAATCTATGCGACCTCATAATATATTTGGGAGCATTTGTGCGACTGCATATAAAGGGTGTAGCGAGACCCGTTTTGACTTTGTCTAAAAACGTGCTGAATCAGTCTTCCCTGCCACTATATTGGTTCAAATCAGCTGTCAATCACTCAAGGCTTTCCGCTGTTTGATGACAGAGCTTTTGTGACCGTGGGAAATGCAAACGACTGAAGCGTGAAAAGCACACAGGTCTGCAAACCCCATATAAACTTACAAATAAAGGCGCAGATGAGGGCGATCATGACATGTGGTGAATGTTGATCCGCCAGCTGAAATCAATCAAGTGTTTTCGGAGAATGCGTTGCATTCACTGCTTGTTCAGCACAAATGTCTGCTAAATGTAAAATCTAATACTGTACAAATCATCGCCAAAGAAGCTTGCCTTTACTAAGTTTAAACTGAATCTGCAACTCATAATAAAGAGCGGTATTGCGCAGGTGGTCATCGTGAGAATCCTGCTCTGCCTGCCCATATATTGGTGCGGCTGACTCGCCTGCTTTATTCCTTAAACACAGAAATATGAAGATCAGCTCATAACGAGACTGAGCATTTACAATGACACAAACCGAAATCAAAACTTTTAAAGAGCGGTAGAAGTGAGACTTTACTTTCTTTTGTCCATTCCATCTTGAGATGTTGTTTTACTATTTAGGTACTGGTGACTGTTTTGCAGCTTTATTATAATCTTTCGTTTGTTTTGTAGCAGAAATATTATTTATTAAATAGACATGCATATAAAACAACAGTGCAAAATAAATATTTCGTACTGCAATGCTTCATTTTTGTTTGATGCAAACCATAAATGTATTTTCTCATAAAGTAACAGACTTTTTATAGCAGATAACTTGCATTCAAGCACATTCAAAGCATAATGAGAAATGTCATTTGTAACTATTATTGTCATTTTCATCATCATTAATCTTCTATAATTATTAGACATTCATTTTGGAATTATAGCATATATATATATATATATATAAAATTTAGCTATATATATTGTCCATATGAGGGTTTTTCAAAGTCTAAGACAGTGGGCCTCCCTTTTGACACAACTTATCCATTGGCGCCCCCTCCTCCCACCCACGCACGCACGCTACCTCATCATGCTTGGTTTCAAGGTGTCGCCGAAGTTTAGTGGGTCTCATGCTGTCATTAGCCAAAATATCTTGACAAAACAACAGCTGTGGTTCAACAGCTGGTCCTGTCCACGTAAATCCTAAACTCAAATACTGATCATCATATCGTCGTCTTTTGGGTTTAAGCCCTGAACTTGAAGGCTTTGAATCTGGGGGTCTCAGAAACCGATCCATTGTATTAGCAGCATGATTAGCAGGCATATACCGGTATTGGCGGGCTTGCCAAACAGAAGTGAATTCACAGCTATGGCCTTCTGGGTAAAAAAGGTTTTCTTTTTTTTGACGTATTATTTTTTTTAGCTTTGTTTAATTAAAACGTTTAAAAATAATAAAACATACATATAATAATTAAACAATAATTATATTTTTATTATATAATATTTTTCCCGCGCCTCCCCTGACATGCTCTGGCGCCCCCCAGGGGATGCGCGCCTCACACTTTGAAAACCCCTGGTCCATATTAATATCGGAATTATATAGTATCGACCGAAATTAAGAACTATATCGTGATATAAATTTCTGCCATATTGTTCAGCCCTAACCTCCAAACATCCTACATTTTTATGTACAAATGTTTTAAACTCTCTTGAAATGCTCATACAGTTACAGGCCTTAAAAACACATGCAAATGATAAACCTTCACTATATTATAGTTAAACCTAGCAGTGATTCCTCAAACCACATGTGTTCTGAAGCTCCTGGTGTATAATTCAGACTCAACATTGCATATATTGCGATGTGAATATTGCGGATGCGCACACTGCGATATCGAATATAAAACGGTATACTGTGCAGCCCGAATATGCACAAATTAACACTGTAAAGCATCCTGTAAAGCATCCTCCTTTACGCTGAGCAATTTACATGTAGCCCGATGTATTCACCTGTGCTGGTGCGGACCCTCATCACTGCATCAAAGCCCATCTGCTTCTGCACATCTCGCCTCAAATCATTAAGGAAACGCTCCTGGTCAGATGAAGCCTAAAAAAGGGAAAAGAAAAAGTGTATAACCAATTTTTTTTATTTTATTTTTTGTTGTTTAGCTGCTCTTGTATGGTTATGGTGACTCAGATGCAGTTCTTCTATACCTGGAAGTAGGTGTACTTATAGATCGAGCCGCCTGTTGAAGTGGGCACCACCCCTAACGTTGCTACATCAACATACTGGTTGGGAAATAGGAAAAGGTCCACACAGCAGCCCTGCGCCACACAATCCTTGGCTAGGGTGTTGTAAAAACTAACTTGCGGCTGGAACAATGACTGCAAAAGAAACAGAGGACAACTTCAGGAAGCGTGGTCCTTAAAACCTACCCAATAACCAGCACATTGAAAAGCTTCCTGTAGTGAAGTTTTCTTAATTCTCCATGCTTGATAACATATTTTCAAAGCATCACTGTTGGTTTAAGGTTGCGTCTTTCAGATACAAACACAATACGTGTGAGTGCTTTTTAGAGAAAAGGTCAAGGTACCTTTTCTTTATCAGTGCCCACTAGTTTCTTATCCTCCCTATTCTTCAGTTTGCCTGGAGCCTCAGCAATGGGGAGAGATGAGTGGAAAATAAAGAGCTTTCCAGCACAGTCTGCGGCCTAGATGACAAAGCAGAAACCTAATTACTGAATGATTCTACTCACAATGGACATGAAAAACATTTGAGCCATAATAAACAAAACGCTTCTGCATCAAAAGTATAACTGCATCATTTTGACTAACAATAAGCCAATTAACATTTACATGACAGTGTACTTTCGCTGTGAACAATGAATCTTGTACTGATGCAATAAGATCAAATACCTTAAGTGCTTCCAGCCCAGCCTGAATGACAGGCCCAAACACAGTCTCAGTTTCCCGTGTGTCTGCAAACATTTCAGGAATCTGATCTAACAAGCTAGGGAGAAAAAAATATTTTCATGAATAATGCTGATGGTCCAAAAAATTTATTTGTGCATTTATATACATTCACTGGCCACTTTCTTAGGTACACTTGTCCAACTGCTTGTTAACATAAATTTCTAATTAGCCAATCACATGGCAGCAACTCAATAAATTTAGGCATGGTCAAGATGAGCTGCTGCAGTGCAAACTGAGCATCAGAATGAGAAGGAAAGGGGATTTGAGTGACTTTGAACGTGGCATGGTTGTTTATGCCAGACAGACTGGTCAGAGTATTTCAGAAACTGCTGATCTACTGGGATTTTCAAGCATAATAATCTCTAGGGTTTACAGAGAAAAGGATAAAATATCCAGTGAGTGGCAGTTCTGTGGACAGAAATGCCTTGTTGATGTCAGGGGTCAAAGGAGAATGGCCAGTCTGGTTCCAGCTGATAGAAAGTCAACAGTAACTCAAATAACCACTCGTTACAGCAGAGGTTCTCTTACAGCAGACCACACTGGGTGCCACTCATCAGTTAAGAACAGGAAACTGAGGCTATAATTGGCACAGGCTCACCAAAATTGGACAATTGAAGATTGTGAAAACATTGCCTGGTCTGACGAGTCATTTTTTTATGCGACATTTAGATGGTAGGGTCAGAATTTGGCGTCAATAAAAAGAAAGCATGGATCTATCCTGCCATCCTATCGATGGTTAAGGCTGGTGGTGGTCGTGTAATAGTGTTGGTATATTTTCTTGGCACACTTTGGGTCTATTAATACCAACTGAGCATCAATGCCACAGCCTACTTGAGTATTGTTGCTGACCATGTCCATCCCTTTATAACCACAGAGAACCCATCTTCTGATGGCTACTTGCAGAAGGATAACGCACCATGTCATTAAGAGTGAATCATCTCAGACTGGTTGGTTTCTTAAACATGACAAGTTCACTGTACTCAAATGGCCTTCACAGTCATCAGATCTCAATCCAATAGAGCACCTTTAGGATGTGGTGGAACGAGAGATTTGCGATGTGCAGCCAACAAATCTGCAGGAACTGCATGACGCTTTCATGTCAATATGGACCAAAATCTCTGAGAAATATTTCCAGAACCTTGTTGAATTTATGCTACGAAGAATTAAGGCAGTTTTGAAGGCAAAAAAAGGGTCCAACCTGTACTAGTAAGGTGCACCCAATAAAGTGACCGGTGAGAGTATTTTTTGTAATCAAATACAGATTAAGAAAAAAACAAAACAAACTATTCCATAGCCTACCTCTCAATAACCACTCTGGACTCTGAGACATTGACCAGAAATCCATCCAGTAAGGGCACAAACATATCAGCCACATCAGACACAACAAGCATCTGTGGCTGAGCGAGGGAGGCCTTCACATTATAGAAATGAAGTACTTTATTGTAGGTGACAAAGCCAACTCGAACATTTGATTCCACATCAGGATTCTCTCTGCAGGAACAACAAGCAACACCAACATTGCACATCATATTTGGCTGTAGATGCCAAAAACATACATATTCTCTTTGTTTCCTAACAGTTTCTCTTTTACACTCTCACCTGGGCAAATAATCCATCAATGTCTTCAGCTCCTGGCAAACCATTCCCACCATGCCATTTTTTACAGCATTGTAGGACACGTCAATTAGGAAAATAAAGGCTGGTGGCTGAGGAAACTTGTTGTTCTGCCAAGAAATAATATTCAAATAAGCAATCCCATGCATATCAGCACCTTATCATTTCCTTTGGCTTGTAGTGGCCTGAAAGAAACACACTGTACCTTACAATAGTCCACAGTAGCCATAAATTCATAACTTCCCATCGAGAGCTCCGGTCGTTCATAGCAGTCCACTCTCTTCCCTGTGTGATCCAGATGCTGGAAGTAATGGGGAGGCACTGAGAGAGAGAAAGCAGACCAGAAACCATAACGTTAGATGAATTTCTAATGATTCCAACATTATAATCCTGTTGTGGCAGCAAAACCAACCCTCGGTGACACAGCTGCAGAAGCCACACTGGAAACGACGGCCACCTTCAATAAACTGCATGAATGGGCACATGTAGGCCTTACAGCGATTACAGCGAATGGGACCACTTTCTCCATGATCCACGAGATATGGCGGTGACTGCCGGACAAAAAGAATGACATGGGCTTTTCGTTAATACTTCTGAATTCATTTTAAAGACAAATGACAATATTGAGCTTTCAAATGTGTCCTTTTACCTCATCTGGAGGCAACGTGGCCAGGGGTTTAATGACAGCAGCCAAAGGAACCTGGGACTGTTTGGCCATGTCAGAATTGCAGGGCATGTTGTAGGCAGTACAACGAATGTAGCGTGGACTTGCATTCCCTTTAAAGAGATTCATATTGATAAAAAGCATACTATAATGGAATAAAACCATTTTGTTCTTAAATGAAGCCTAAATTTATGCTTTTACCTTGATCTTTCACTTGAAATCTGGTGGTTACTAGAGGTGGAGCTTGACCTCTTACCCCTGTAGTGAAAGGTTGACTTCCCTTGTTTGCTTTATCATCCTCTATAACCTGAATCTGAGAGAACAAACAGGAGCCTATGAAAGAACGGCACACCTTCATTTACAAACAAACACAACACACCCTGACCTTTCACCCAATAAACCTCTTTATGCGTATATGAAAATAATCCAGACAGGATCAGTTAATTCATCGCCACATCTGATCACCTAAACCAGATTAAAGGAATATTCAGGATTGATGCCACCTGAAATATGGCATCTCCATCAATTTGGCCATAATACCAAACATTTTCTAAAGAAATTACTTTCATTTTCACATTTTATTATACATCATAATATACAGTTGAAGTCAGAATTATTACAGGGTTTCTGCAGGTTTAACTAAGTTAGATTTAAGACTAAGACATTTTTAAGAAGATCATAAATAAAATTTTAGACTCATAAAGGGCTAAATGCCAAGGAATTTTTCAAAGGGTACAGATGGAATGGCCAATCAAAAATTTATTATAATTGTATACATTTAATAATACAATAATAATGTATATTAAAAAAATACTGTAAATATTGTGTAAAAACAAGTAACCTCTACTTGGATCCATACACTTTTTCCCCAACATAAACTTAAACTTAAAAAAAAAAATAATAATAAAAATATATACTTTAAATTAACAAATGTTTTAAAAGCTTTAAAAACTATAATAAACTAAATCTATGCACAACAATCTGTCCAGGTCGTGTAAAATAATTTAACTATTATGACAAAAAGAGTTTAAAAAAAGAGCTAAAATGTTTAAGTTTTGAGGATGGATGGATTGTTGGCGATTGAAAGGATTTAAGCCAGATTGAGTAGCAATACATGAACAAAGGAAAATTAAGACCTTTTTGAAATTGAAGACCTACAATCCAATAGTTGAATAAATTTAAGACTTTAAGGCCTAATATTTTGATTTTGAGATTTAAGAAATTAAGACTTTAAGACCCCACGAACACCCTGTATTAGTCCTCCTGAATTATTAGCACCCAATATATTTTCCTCCCATTTCGGTTTAACAGAGATTTTTTTTCTCTTTTTTCTCTTTACCAATTTCTAATCACAGATTTCTTTTATCTTTGCCATGATGACAGTATGTAATAGTTTATGAGATATTTTTCAAGATACTATTAATCAGTTTAAAGTTACATTTAAAGGCTAAAGTAGGTTAATTAGGTTAACCAGACAAGTTATGGTAATTGGGCAAATCATTGGGTAACAATGGTTTGTTCTGTAGACTATCAAAAATTATATAATAATATATTGAAAATTAATAATAATAATAATATTGACATAAAAACGGTTTATTAAATAAAAAAATGCTTTAAAAAATATTATAGGAAATACTGTAAAAAAATGCCTGACTCTTTTAAACATAATCTGGGAAACATAAAATAATAATAATAATAATAATAAATAAAATAAATAAATCGCAGGAGGGCTAAAAGTTTTGACTTCAACTGTATATACCACAATCTAATCTCAAAAAACAAAATCAATTAAAATTTCATTAGTTGCAAATGATCCTATTTCTTCCGGAAACCAAATTGCCAAGAAATACCCTGTTGGCTTGTGTAAAGCTAGATTCCAGCTTGGCCAATAAAACTGTCAATTCTGCAGCTAATCATACCGAATAAATAAAATCTAACTCAGAATATTCCTTTAAATACATGTTTACATTAGACACTGCCCGACCCGGTATACCAGACTACGATAACTCCTAATAACTCCTGAAGGACTGCAGCCTTGCACAGTTTAGCACCAACCCTGCTTCAACACACTTACCTGTAGGTTTCAAACAAGCCTGAAGAACTCAATTAGTTTAATTATTTAATTAGGACACTAATGTCGGACTTTGCTTAGGCAAAAGCCTTGTCACTTAACAGAAATAATGTACAGTGTAGAATATAAAGTCATGCTGCATTGCAAAAAGAATTAATAGTGTTTAATTCCCAGGAGCTTGAAGCACCAACCCTGCTTCAACACACTTACCTGTAGGTTTCAAACAAGCCTGATGAATGAACTCAATTAGTTTGATCAGATGTGTTTGATAAGGGTTAAAGCTAAACTGTGCAGAGCTGCAACCCTCCAGGGACTGAGTTTGACACCTATGCATTATATCATAAATAGGACACTGCCATTCATGCACACACTGTCACTTTATAGCATGCAGGAGAGTAGATATGTACAGTTTTGGGTGGGTACCAATGACCAGTCTAAATGGTGTAAAATGCCAGAGTAAACTATCTACAATTGTTCAAAGGAATTGAAATTTAAAGGGAGGAGGGTATTTGCTAATAATGGACCAATTGTTAAACATGATTTGCATGTAAGGCAGAGTATTCCTTTATCAAAAAAGTATTTGGAAAGTTTTTTTTTTATGAAAATGGCTCTAGTTGATGTCATTGTGTGTGAAACTCTTTATATGGCCACTTCTCATGGTAGAGTGCACACACAATGGAGTTGCTGGAGAATAGCTCCAAAGAAGTGTTTTTGGTTGTACATGACAGGTTGCATATACAACCGTTAAGCGGAAGCTAGACGCATTTCCCAACAGTTGACTGAGTAGAACCACCCATGGCACACCTGCAGGCATTTTCTGGAAAGAATTGTAGCTTTCTCTTATTAATTATTTTCAGAGAAAAAAAAGATATGAGCATGAAACCCCACTTGAACGTCTGTCATCATTCAATTCAACTTAAATTCAAGTTATTCTTCAAATTTGACTTACAAAACAAATTTGGAATAAAGTTGGGAGATCTTAAAATGTCTTTACTCTTTATATAGAGTTTATCTTTATTAGAGTTATCCTTGATTCTCTATTAGTATGTTGTGTATGCTTTGCCTAAACAGACGTTAAATCATTTACCTTAGTCATTCTTAACTATATATATTTTATATTCTATACTATATTTTGTATGCTCTGTCAAATTATATGCTAACTGAAACTGGCATTTGAGGACATGTATTTTACATGCTAATGAGCCATTTTGCAGAAAGAGCTATCCTTGAAAAGAAATATGCACCAGAAACAAAAATAACATACATCTCTGGCTTCTGATTTCCTATGTAACAATTTATGAAAACATATTGGAGCCTATGGAAGTTTCTAAGCATGTGCATTTAACTGGTCCATTTCTTTTGTGGAGAAAAGAGGAACTAGAGAAGGTGCAGAAAAGCTGACAGAGACAACCCGCCTTTTTCTTCTGGGAATATAAACAGGGTCTTTAGAGAACACTCGCAGATCGCCTGGTATGTTCTCTTGGATAGCATTGTATAACCAATAGGACACAGTTGTGCGACCCAGGGCCCTAATCGAATTATTCATTTGAACGTAATTACTAATATTATTGAAATTGATCTCCGCCTCCTGAGTTTGTATTGAACAGGCATGGAATAATAGAGACTTATTCCAACAGTAACTTTAATAAATTTTAAGTTTATTGAAATATTTTATTTGCAGTACTAAGTACTAAGACTTTGCAGTACTATTTCTCATTTGATTGTTCAGTTACTGTTCCTAAATACTATCAAACCTCTAGGAAACAATAACACATTGTGTAATTAATTTGTGTCTTTTTCTTTATTGTATTAATGCTTGTAGATTGTTTATTATAAATTATGCATCTACACGACATGATGATAATCTTTTCGCCTATGCAAGTTTTAAGAGCAACAAAAAATAACTTGACTTCTAGCTGATCATTTGGTATCACAAGTGGCTTATATAAAAGGCCTACACCAGGCATGTCCAAACTTGGTCCTGGAGGGTCGGTGTCCTGCAAAGTTTAGTTCCAACCCCAATCAGATACACCTGGGCTAGCTAATCAAGCTCTTACTAGGCTTTCAAGAAACATCATTGCAGGTGTGTTGAGGCATATTGGAGCTAAAATCTGCAGGACACTGGCTCTCCAGAACAGAGTTTGGACACCCCTGGCCTACACCTATTATACCGAAATAAAATATGATAATGCCTTGATGTTTAATTATTTAATTAGGACAGTAGTTCCGACTTTGCTTAGATAAAAGTCTTGTCACGTAACAGAAATAATGTACAGTATAAAGTCATGGTGCAGAGGATAAAGAATTAATATTGTGTATGATTCGCATGAGCTTGGGCGACTGCATCCATCCATCTCAGCAATGACTCAAATAACTTATTAATAAAGTCATCTGGAATGGAAAAGAAAGCATCCTTGCAGAGCTCCCAGAGTTCATCAAGATTTTTTGGATTCATCTTCAAAGCATTTATCTTACCCAAGACATGCTCAATAATGATCATATCTGGTGGCTGGTCTGGCCAATCCTAGAGCACCTTGACCTTCTTTGCTTTCAGGAACTTTGATGTGGAGGCTAAAGTATGAGGAGTGCTATTCTGATGAAGAATTTGCCCTCTACTGCAGTTTGTAATGTAATGGGCAGCACAAATGTCTTGATACCTCATGCTGTTGATGTTGCCATCCACTCTGCAGATCTCTTGAACGCCCCTGTACTGAATGTAACCCCAAACCATGATTTTTCCTTTACCAAACTTGACAAATTTCTATGAGAATCTTGAGTCCAAGCGGGTTCCAATAGGTCTTCTGCAGTATTTGTGATGATTGCAGTTCAACAGATGATTCATCAGAAAATCTACCTTGTGCCACTTTTACAAATAATCAACTAGAAGTCAAGTTATTATTTGTTGCTCCTACAACTAGGATCAACGACCTTTTGTCAGGTAATGTAAATTGATAAATTATTTACAAATAGAGATATTTAAGTCATCGGGTGAAATTGTATTCATATTGCAATATCACAGCAAAATATCGCAATGAAAAAAAAACTTGACATGAGAGCAAGTAAAAGACAATTAAAATTTTCCAATGAACTTCATTTCCAGTGAAATCTTTTTAAAAATACATGTTAAACAGATGATATAGAGATGTGGCCATCTAGGTAAGGAGGTTATCTGGTCCAAATTCTATTCATTTAGACTGATTCATTGGCATCCCCATGAGTAAGAAACTGAGAAACAGGGATACAGTACAACAACACAGAACAGCAGAGAGACACGAGGCACTTACTGGACTGGGGATTGCGTCTGGGTCTATTCTATGTCTTGTTTTCTGCACAGGCGGCATGTCAGAGGTTTGCTTTACATTTTAACAATTTAGTCAGCAAATTATAAGAGAGGAGAGGGATAGAGAGAGAGAGGGAGAGAAGCAAAAACAAAAGAAAAAGAAAGAGAAGGCAGAGAAGATGAACAGAAGTGTAACCACAGTTACAGTTCCTCTGTTTTTATTTCAAGCCTAGAATTACTAATGATTAATCACACTGTTTAGCAGGCAGTACAGGAGACATGTGTGCAGTTATTGCGTGGCGGCACGTGCACAATTTCCAAGCCTTGAAAAATCCATGAAAATGGATGTTATGTTTGCTAAAAGCCGCCATAGTGCATGCACATCAGACACAGGAGACTCCAGAGCGAAGCCTTTTAACACAAGCACATCACAGATCTATGTACATAAATATCCTTTATTACTGACTGACACTATACGGTTATGTGTATGATTGTGTATGGAAGTGCATTAGTACTGAACATGGTGGATAAAAACATTAACTTCAAAACAGTGCAAGGGAATGGTGGAGAATGAGCTTGTTGTGTATGTCAGGTGTATGTCAGATGTGGAAAGTTCATACCGGGCTTGGGATAGAATCAGGATCGAGTCTCTTTGGGGCAGCTGGTGCTGGGGCAGGTGCAGCGGGTGGTGCTCCATAGTTTGGCTGGCCAGAATATGGTGGTGCTGCATAGCCAGGCTGAGGACCTCTGACTTGCCCGAAAGCACCTGTTAGGGTAAGAATAGATCATAAGCTATGTTTCCATCCAAAGATGCAAATTAAATTTATGCGCAAAACTGGAATATTGGCTAAAAGACGTGCAAATAAAGCAGCGTTTCCACCTGATGAGTAAAAGGGAACAAAATCATCACTTCCTGAATAACTGGCACCACGCATCAAAAGTAAAAACTAAATATGCTGTTGTAGGAGAAGCTGCATGAAGCTTTTCTTTATTTATTAAATGACTTGCACTTCAGAAGACTTAATGCCGACATGAAAAGAATGCGTTGTGGCGTTTGAAGTCGTGAGATGTGGAGCACGGACGCTCTTGAGAGTTTTGGAGGTAATTAATATCCACTTGTAAAGTCATGATGTATCGGTTGCGTATGGAATACTGTTTCTGAATCCAAGCGGAAATTTTAAATATAATCATAGTGTACACATCAATCTCTGGACTTGCTGCATCACAAACACCAAAATGTTAACACTTTATAAAAAAATTATCACTTTCTGGCCATCTGATATTAGGCATGAATATATATGTATATTGCGATCATGATTTCCTAAAGTATTACACCGCTTTGTAAATGTTTATCATTACCATTTGATGAGTTTCCCCATACAGTTTGATATAGCACTTGGACCTGGAAGCCACTGCACGTGACGTCACACTTAACAAGCGAATAATAACACTAATACTTAAACGGTAAGGTGTTTTAGAATGACCAAAACATTTCAGATGTTTTACAACGTGCTCAGCCTGCTGGTGTGTCCATTCCCACAAATTTTTAACATCGCTTAATGTCTTATGACAAAAATCACTTGATTTTTTTTTATACTGCGCATACTGGAATTTGTTCGGTGTTTCCATATTAGTTTATGTAGATCTTTTCCTATCGAATAAAAAAATATTTTTTTTTGCGCATTTTCAAAACTTATGGCATTTCCATCAACAGTTTTTTTACGCATATCCAAAATGCGTATAAAAATATGTGGATGGAAACATAGCTATACAGAACCTACACTGGTCTCACGGTTCGATTACCATTATCATGTCATCGATTGGGTTTAATTCAATATCTCAGTGCATCAACGATGCTTTCCATATACAACTTAATATTTTACTTACCAACAAAATAATTATTGTATTAAAATTTATTAATATTATTAATATATTATTTGTAATACAATTTTGTCCGTCCTTTAATACAAGCAGTCAGATATATGTACTGTACCTTTATTTTACTAGCTCAAAGAAAACTCTTTTAGAATGTATCAAACAAAACTCAAGTACATGCACAAAACAGTATGAGCATTTACAGCAGATAAAATTTTTTAAAATATCATCCTGCTTTCTTTTTAAGAGTTGTTGAACAACTAATTAATTTATCACACGCTAAACAGAAAAAGCTGTGAGTCAGTGTAGCTCAGCAAACAGTGACATGGACACTGACGTTAAATGGTCACAGCGATTAGCTGATCCATTACAGATGCGACAATGTGGAGAAAACTCGCTCTGCAGACACACTCATGTCTGGATCCACAAGTAATGTTATTGTTGTAACAGCTGATAAAGGAGATAAAATGGTATCTCACAAACAAGCCAGCAAGTGAAAGGAGCAACAGAGAGTGAGTGAGAGTGAGTTTACAGCTTAATTTTTTCCTAGCTGGGTTCTGATGAACTTCTCTGTCAGTGAAAGACTGTCCAGCAAACTCACAAGCAGTGAATGGTGCACAGTTCTCTGCTTTTAAAGTAGTTGGAGCATTTTAATTACTCGCGGTCTTCATCCTCACCATAAGCTACAGCCATATATTGCATATAAAATAAATGGCATTAGTACAAAATAACTGCTTATGATTATTACTGAACCGATACCAAATTGTTTGCGTCTGCATCACAGTGCATCGAAGAAACAATAAACAAACACCCCTAAAAGACAGGTCCAAAAAACTAATACTAATTTTAGAATTAGCCGAGTCATGAAAAAAAAATGTATGAACGTTTTAGAGCAGTACAGTTTTCTTAAACACATTTCTATGCATATTCAATTATGGCATTTAATATTACATTTAAAATTTTTAAGGATTCAACATTTAAAATGATATGTTTTTAGTTCCTTTTTAATTTCAGATCATTTTAAGTGTCTTTTAATACATCTAATTATATTACTTCTAAGAATATTTATTTCAATTTTAGTTTTTGAAATTTAAGTACTTCAAATAAATAAAAAAAAATCACTTGCAAAGTGATTTTTTTTTACATATTTATGATTTCATACTGAAGCTCACCATTTTGCTGAGGAGGATATCCCTGCATTCCCGGCTGTGGTGGTGGCCCTGACAGGGAAGCATTAATAGGACCAGGTGGCATACCAGGTTGTGAAGGGGGTACATGATTAACTTGTGCCATTGTAGGGCCTTGCGATCCCATTGGAGGCCCTTGCAATTGCAGTGGAGGCTCTTGAGATGCCCCTGGTGGCCCATGCGATGCCATCAGAGGCCCTTGTGATGCCATAGGAGGGCCCTGCATTCCAGCAAGGGGAGGCCTTGGTGGAGCGCCAACTTGTGGTGGAAACGAAGCAGTGGTTGGTGGGGGTTCTGAATAGTATGGTGAGGGCTGGGAAACTGGTGGTTGAGGTGGCATGGGTCCCGGAAGCTGAGAATGAGTAGAGGTGGGTGGTGGACCTCCAGGGAACACGCCGGGTTGGGAAGTGGGAAGCGGAGCTCTTTGAAATGAGGGCTGTGTTGGAGGAAGCGGGCCTCCATATGACTGTGATGGACCTGGAGGAGGAGCTGTGGAAAAAGGAGGCTGAGAGACGGCTGGAGCTTGAGGGAAAGACTGTTGAGAAACAGATGGTGGAGCTTGAGGCTGAGTAGGGCCAGCGGAGGAGAACGTAGAGACAGCATTTGGGAAAGGCTGCTGAGCAGGAGGTGGAGCTCCATAGTAGGGCAGAGGGGGAGGCTGAGCCACAGCTTCAGTAGGTGGAGGCTGTGAGGGAGCCGAGGAGGTGGGTGGGAAAGTAGGAGGAGCTGAAGGTGTGTAGGCAGCAGAGATTGGAGCCTGAGCCGTGGAGGGAGGGGCTAAAAAATGATAAATAGTTTATTACAGCAATGCTACAATTTTTTTTTAGTTATTATGCTTTTATTTTGCTAAACAGTCTTTTACCATAGCCTGGGCCTGCAGGGGAGGGTGCAGTAGAGCCAACCTGCATGCTGGCCATCTGATTGGTCATCTGCTGCATGCCAATAGGTGGAGATCCAAACTGCTGGCCGTATGGGGGCTGAGTAGGACCGGACAGACTCACTGCATTTGGAGTGTGCGGTTGAGACACTAGAGTCCTATACAAGCAATAAAAAAAGAAAGAACCATGATAAGGCAAAGAAACAATTATCATATACCTCATTTTGGATTTATTAAAATTAAGCGATGATTTTTTCATCAGCATCAGCCACAAAAGTGAAATAGTAAAACATAGACTAAATATAATAAAAATATATACTACCGGTCAAAAGTCAAGGCGGCATTTAATAAATGTAAAAAAATTGTTAAATTACTTTATTTGAGTTTCAAATGAAATTATTAATCCTGTCATTATTGTTTTTATTACTATGACCATTAATAAAAATAATAACAACAACAACAAAAAAATAATACTCAAGTGATTTCTAAAGGATCATGTGACTCTAAAGTAATGAAGCTGAAAATTCATCTTTAAAATAAATGGAAGATATGATTAAATTAAATTCTAAACTACTTTGAACAGTTATTTTATAGTGCAATAACATTTCACAACTGTACAATTTGTACTGTATTTTGATTAAATAAATGCAGCCTTGGTGAGATGAAGAAGCTTATTTTTAAAATCCTTAACTTAAAAATCCCACGGACCCCAAACTTTTGAACAGTAGTGTATATTAACATATAAGATATGAGAGTGAAAGCAAAATGACTTCACTGACCCCTGTGGTGGAGCTACCATTGGAGGTGGTCCATTTTGAGTCTCTCCTTGGCCAAACTGCGAATAGCTCTGGGCACCTGAGACAGGTGGTGTCCCTGAGGTGGGGGGTTCTCTCATGCCTTCATGGGAACAGGCAATAAGCAAATAAACACATCTTATAGCAACACTTTTTAAATTCCAACTTTTATGAACATCTTTAAGAAACAAAGACATTTTAGGTAAATAATCTAGCTGTAAAAAATGTGGGACCTACATTGAATAGCAGGGGATTTTTAAAGTTTGTTTAGACATGTTTGCCTTTATTATGATGGATGAATACACACATGATAAAAAGTAAAGTTTGAAAGACAGTGGTCAGAATAAGAACATTTCCCCAAACCAGAACACCTAGAGCTCAACCACGCAACACATCGGACGACTCTCCACAAGACTACGTTTTGACTATCTATCTCATACAAAAACCTTCTTGGCTAAATGTTGAGATTTTATCTTTCTAAATGGTTTCCTTTAAATATTTTGTGTGCAATAAACTAGTTCAGACATTACATAAGGAACACTTAAATTATACAATACAACTTGCATCTAATGCAATAAAACACTTATGCAATATATTATGGACTTTTCTTTCTATAGTAAACTGTTTGTACAGCAACAGCTTATTTTAATTGCCCACATGTCTCATGCCAATGGAAGCCAGCTTATCATACAGATGAACCTAAACCATATATTATGTTGAACAGGTACTGGCTTATAACATTACATAAATGTTTTAAAATGGTTAAAAAAAATAATGCATCTAAATTGCAGGGGACAACAGAGAGGAACAATCAAAACATCATCCAGGTCATCTGTGATTTGCTTTTAACATTTTTTTAAGACAACAAATTTTTTAAATTTGCTACTGACAAAATTATCACTACAACAACAACAATTTAAAAGTAATTCAATAATTCAAGCCCGTTCTGGATATTAGAGAGGTTCAGGCCATCTGTGCCATCAAGAAATTGTCTTGATTCACGTGTACAGGACAGTATGCTCACTCAATGAACATGAATATTACACCGTTTTCCAATTATAAATATACTGAGACCATAGTGAAGACAGGACATGGCGAGAAAAAGTACAAAATTTAATAATGAATCACAGGGAATAGAGAAGAGGAAAGGCTATTAAGCAGAGTTAAACCAGTTACCTAAGTCAAGAGGAGAGGAGGAGGACAGGTCAGAGACTAAGTTTGTTGTGAGAGTCTTAGAGGGAAAGCTTGCATAAGGAGAATATCCTGCAATACAAGAAACAAAGCAGTGAAAATGGGAATGAGATGTGAATCAGGAAATGACTGTTAAAAAGAGGAGGTTGGAACGAAACTGATTGTTGGTTTCTATTTTTTCAGTACATCTATTAAATGACAATAACTAGGGATGCTCAAAATAATCAATTAACAGTTAACTGAAAGGGTGCGTTTGTAACCGAATAATGGTATCAGTTAAACGATTAAAAAAATCTTATTTAATATATTTTTAGAGTTTGGGTGTATCATGGGGCCGATCGAATGCGTTTTTCATGTTAAGAGGGGCAGCTTTTTAATGGTTTACTAACGGCCGCAAGTGTTTTGTGCGCGGCTCATCCCAGAGCAGGAGTGTTTGTGTTGTCAAGACAACTAGAGAAAACTTTTAAAGAGAATGGTTTCCGTTACATTCATTCTTCCATGACGGCGATCGCCACACTAAAATGCATCCCACCATGGCTACATTCCAGCTACTTCCTAGTAGGGCTCTGCAATTAATCAAAAATCCGATTTCGATTTCGATTTTGCCTTCTAACGATTATGAAAAATCATTAATCGAAATAAGCGATTATTGCATCATTTACCGCCCCCTTTCCAGTTGTACACGTGTTGCTCTTAAAAGCGCGAAAGACCACATGATTCTGTGTGCCGCGCATACACAGAATTGAAGCATGCAGTCAGCATTCGGTCTCAGTCGCACACTGAGACGAGCAGAGCGCAGTCAGCGCACACATCTAAAGTAATCTTAACGTGAGCGCTTTAATGGTCAAATAGGTGTCAAAACGCAGTTTTTAGTGATTATTTATATCAAGCATCATTTGTGTAATAAACAAACGAGTTGAGAATCAAAAGAGACGCGAAAGAGAAACAATTAAAGAGACAGCGCGCTATAATCCTTCTGCCGCCTGTTTTTATGATTGTTAATCAAACAACAAATGGAGAACATGCCTCTGCTCTGACTGAAGGACTTTTGTAGCTAAAGTGTTTCTTAAAGTGAAGATGCTTAAAGCACAGTTTGTTTTATATTTTTATTCTATTATATTTATTTCTCTTTTCTTTGCAGGGTGGAAAATAACTGTTTGTATACAGTTGGAGTCTGAATTATTAGCCCTCCTGAATATTAGCAACCCTTTTCCTCCCCAGTTTCTGTTTAATGGAAAGAAGATTTCTGAACATAAAAGCTTTAATAACTCTTTTCTAATAACTTATCCATTTTATCTTTGTCATGATGACAGCACATAATATTTGACTAGATATTAAAAATAAAAAAAAGTCTTTCTCCAGAAGAAAAAAAAATATAAAAGAGGAAATACTGGTAAAATTCCTTGCTCTGTTAAACATCATTTGGGAAATATTTATTTTTTACAAAATTCTCAGGAGCGCTAATAATTTTAACTTTAACAGTAATCGTTTTGCATAATCGTGATTTCAATTATGACCAAAATAATCGTGATTATGATTTTTCCCAAAATCGAGCAGCCCTACTTCCTAGTTCTCTAATAGCGGGTTATAATTGCACCAAAATTTATTAAAAGGTAAGTGAATTATAACAGCGCAAACTTTTCTGTTATCGTAGTTGTGCTATGCATTATTTGTTTAACTCTGAGGTTACGTGCTGACTGACTGACCAACTGATTGACTGACTGACAGGTGCATGAAGCATGAGGCCAGCAAACACAACATAGCTTTCAGTTAGGATGAACACAGTTTCAATAATTTTTATTTATTTATAAATAAAAGTCTATGGTTCTGCATACAGTGACTCTCTTGCTGGAGTTCATAGCCATTTTACTTTACTTCAGGACGCATCAATGCCAGTCTTTTCAGTAGGTCTATTGGAGACATTTATAAATATTCCTAGCAAATCTAATAAATGTTGGAGACATACTCACTACATAAACGTGCTAAGTTGCACTTTAGCAGCGTTTTTTTGAGCGCGCACAAGAAAATTTGCACTGGAGCAGTGTATATTTGAGGGGGTGTGCAAGAGGTTTTGTGCACAAACAGAGGAAATCGGCGCGCAAGCAAAAAGATTTGCATTGCATAGATGCGATCTCGACTTGTAATACTACGCTGAAATAATGCCATAGGTAGTTGGTAGATTTGTGTAAAAGGTCTGCCGCCACAGCTGGAAAAAATCCTAGAGGAAACACTAAAGATGGAGGAGAGACTAGTGCTCACTGTTTTAAGTTATCCAGAGCTGTATGAATTTACAAATCTTGAATATCACAATATTATTAAATATTACAATTGTAATAACATAGACAGCAACACTTTTGCACAATCAATATCCAGCTGATTTGTTTCCTATAATACTTTTTTTTTTTTAAAAAGCACAGCGTTTCTTATTTCCTTGTCAACAAAAAGGCAGTGTGGTGCACCTCACGTTTTTAAAACGGAAAAGTGCGTTTGCTGTGATCGGCCCCTTAATATGCAACTGCAACACATACACTAACGTATAACCACACGTGCCTACAGACATATTTGCTAAAGAAGCTAAATGAAAGAAGAATATTGCTGTTGGACACAAATGAGTTTATGCCTAACCAGCGCTGATGCTGATCGCCTCCTGGATCTGCATCATAAACACAACAAATAGGCTTTAGCTTTCATTTTACAGCTTATAAAGCATGTATGAAAATTAATGCAATATCACATTTAAACAACAAAACTGTTTAAAAAAAGTCAACATATGCGCGCGTTGTCATTGTCTTTTCATCACACGCAGAGTGCACCATTGAACCGCGAGAGAGAGAGGAAACCATATATCAAGACATAATCTTCAAAATAATGATTTTCTATTTTTTTTCTATTTCTATTAAAAATGTAAAAAGGTTTTGTGTTATAACAACAACAGCGGGCCATTAAATAAATGCATATTTTCTGTGAAGCGAGCAATTTGAGATTTTTATTTGGACTAAAGACAAAAACATTGAAAAAAAAAAAACTTTCTTAAAAAAAATTCAGTCAGTGTTTTCGTTTTGTAATCTAAATTAATCATTTAAGTAAAAAAAATTTAGGGCATGCCAGTTTATTTTGTTTAGTTTTTTCTGTTTTTCTATGCTGTTGGAAACACTACAGGTGCATGAAGATGCTCTGTTGTTATGTTCTACTATTAATATGTTTGCATGTTAAAATAAATCAGAATTTTAAAATGCAATATATAATGTGTCAGACACAAAATAGACACGTCAATTTTTATACAATAATTTGTAATAATTTAATATTAATCTGAACAGTTAACCGTTAATATTCGATTTATGAGTGGCGGTTGTCGGTTAGCAAAATTAACCGAAATGAGCATTCCTAATAATAACCCATCATAAACGTGTCTCCTGAACAAGTCACAATCATTGTGTACTTTCAACCTCTCTTACCTTGCGGTGGACCTTGTTGGTAGCCAGAGCCCGGGCCGTTATCTGGTGCATACTGAGCTGGATATCCCGATGGCACATGGCCACCCCCGTATCCAGGCTGGGGGTAGCGCTGATACCCTGGCTGAGGGTAGCGCTGATACCCTGGCTGAGGGTAGCGCTGATACCCTGGCTGAGGTTGCCCATAAGGAGAGGCCATGTGAGGTTGCTGGTTGACATTCATTCTCAGTTCATCCCTAATCTGAAGAAAAGAGGGGAAAAAAGGATAAGGAGAAAGTGAGTAAGTAAATCTATATTTATGAGGTATGCCTATAAGAAGTGCTTAAGATGTCTTGTTAGTCTCCCTGGTGCTTTCAGGGGTCTAAAGCCATGTGCCACTGGACTGCTGGCACAGCAAAACTCACAACTAATCATTTAAGCTCAGACCAGTGCAGCAAGTGTTGACATAAATGAGAAATTTTGCCAGAAAAGCTATTTCGCACTTCAAGGCGGAAAAGCTTTGAGGTTTCTTAAAGCGAACAACATAGAGAAGTTGATGAGTAAACAAATAACAGGAGCATTTCACACAAATTTGAAGCACAAGAATTAATATGATTTGTTTTGGTGCCACAACCCATTTTAGCAGAATCTGTCCAGTGCAAAAAGTAAAAAGGAAATGTGATTTAGTGAGTACTCCAGAGGAATTATTGTGGTTTATGTACATCTCATCTGTTGTATTGCACTATCAAACCACAAGTTAAATATGAATTAGAGCTGGACGATAAGGCAAAAAAAAAAAAAACTATTATGATAATTTTTTTCATATCAGTCGATATCTTTATCACGATAAAATGTAAAATCTTTATATCTATCAATTTTATAGGACTTTCAGCATGGCAATTGCTTTGTGCAGCTGATTTAACACATTTAGTGAAATGTTTAGCTGTCGGACAATATAATAAAAAGATAATAAACAAAAGAACAATCTAAACTCAGCATTTACTGCTCAAGTACTGTTCAACAACCAAAGACATTACCTACAAGTTATTGGATATTAATGTTCAACTTTAAAAAAAAAAAAAAAAAAAAAAAAAACAAGTTTGGAACAAGTAAAAGATGTGACAGGATTTTCAGTTTTGGATGAACTTTCCTTTTAATGGTGAACATTAACAATATATTTTATTTAGGTATGCTAACGATTACTTGATCTATTACTTGATCTATCACTATCTTGACATTGGATATTTCAGAATGCATAAAACCTTGTTATGTGCAAATCTCCATTATATCCGTTGGTGTTTTAAACAATTTTGTCTGACAGACTGGCAAGAATAGGCCTCTGCAGACTCTCATTTCATAAATCGCATCACGGCGAGACAAGCGGGGAGCCTCTATCATCCTTCAGGCCGAGTTTATTCTTCTCAGGTAATCTAACAATACTATAAGTGCTGCGAATAGACTGTAAAGACTGTCCCGCTCATGCTGCTCAAACCGCTTCTTTAAATGAATTAAACTGAAACCGAAAACAGTTTAATGGATTGTTTTGGCGCTAAAGCAGGGGTGGCCAACCCTGTTCCTGGAGAGCCACCTTCCTGCAGATTTCAGTTGCTACCCATATCAAACACACCTGAACCAATTAATAGGACCTGAACACCACGTGATAATTACAGGCAGGTGTGTTTGATATGGGTAGCAACTGAAATCTGCAGGAAGGTGGCTCTCCAGGAACAGGGTTGGCCACCCCTGTGCTAAAGCATATAGAATTTGTTATTTATTATATGTTATTTGTTCTTCTTGTTTATGTAGTAGATAACAGACCAACAACATATACATCAAAATTAAGTTACACATTATACAAAATGAAATTTGTTGCAAAAAGTTAAATTTTCAAAGAAATATAAGTATATTTTTAGTTTGTGCCCATCTTAAACAACTGCTGGTGGATGATACTTCGCACAGTGGAAAATAAGGATTTAATTAATGATACACTGTTGTTGTAAACATCGATCATATTTACTGCATTTTTAATATGTCTTTATTTTTAAGATTTCGTCTTAAGCAACTGATTTCTCCTCTGTGATAATGCCTTTTAAATGTATAAAGACTGGTTGTTTTACGGTCGATGAGGGACAATAGTGGTATTACAGATTTTAAAATGAATATCTTAATATTAAAAGGGAAACATAAGTCTGACAACAAAAGATCCCCTTAAATAATGCAGCCTGTAGTTTACAGCAAGCATCAAGTGTTCATTGAAATCGTGTTGTCTGTCATATCTTCGGTTTTTTAGAGGGTTTTCTTTTTTATAAGGCACGGCTTTCGAAAATGATGACATGAAATGCTGGGTAGTTGCGCTGGTTTACCAACACGTGTTTGGGTCTGTAATGTCATAGCATCTTCATTAGGGTGGTGTTGTTTTAAATGATAAAACCGGTTTGGGAAGTTGCCTGCTTTTGATGGCACGAGTCGTCTGCGCAGTTTGCAGTGCACGTTGCTCTGTTTTGCGTCGGATTAAAAAAAAAGTAAGTAGCTCTAGACTACTAAAGTCTAGTGATGTTTCTTGTCAACAATGTTTGTGACTGTGACCTTTTTTACCTTATTTTCTTCTTACTTCTTCAAGTGCAACTAACACTGTATGGCTGTACATTTGTATACTGCATGCAGCATCCAGAAGGGCAGGCTGCAAAATGCCAGCGCAGCTTTACGCATAGTGCATAAATATTATCTTGCAATTATGGAACTGTCATTATAGTTTTATTGAAAAATTAATTATCATGATAATTATCGATATCGAATTATCACCCACCTCTAATATGAAGCAGTTGATGATGATGAGTTTTTATTTAATGCCATGTCAGCAACAAATGTTATTTTCATGGCAAGAACATATTTTTAATAGATACACAATTAAAAATACAAACAAATGAATACAACAATTGATTTTTAACGTTAACACATGATAATTTTTTTTTTTAAGTTTCCTGGTGACACCTGTTTCCTATTGCTAAAAATGTCCTTAAGAGAACCTTCTTGGCTTCAGCAGTGATTAAAAGCAGAACACTCCAGTAGAATGTGTTTTACAGTAAGAGCAATTGTAAGTGGGGTGGGGTCTACACCGTTAAGCAAAAAAATCATGGGTTATTCTTCTGTGTAATATGAAGTATTTAAAGGAAATATTCACAACTCCCATAATATATTTCCAAAAAATCTTTAAAGAAACAGTATTTAATAGAAAAAAAGTTTCCAAATTAGTTTTTCCAAAGGAAAAAATATTATCCATTCTCTAAAAATGACTAAAAATGGGTACTGTAAATCAGAATAGAGCCAGATGTAATTGAAAGACCCCATTTAATGAGATTTCACCAGTACATTCACAGGTAGAGATTATATTAATTCTAATAAAATGAAAACCAAAATAAAAAAATTCATTACATTTTTCGTTTGCTAAAAATATACAGTAACAAAAAAAAAAAATCTAAGGGTGGCTAGTTTGTATTAATGTGTTTTAAAATTAATAAAAACATGCTTGGCCTATTTAAGCTTAACAGCTATATACGCTGCCAATATAGGCAAGTCATTCACAAATATTATTTTACTGTGTTCTGGGTTATAATATATATTTTACAATAAAAAATAAATGTAGCATGTCTTGCTGTTATTTAAAACATGCAATTCATAACACACCAGATCTGAAGGCCTATAGTCTATGCAGTGTATAAACTACAGGGACGTATGGAGGCAATACTGCACAGAACGTTATTGAACTCCAATATCTCTGAGCTAGATTGTTACCCGATGACCAATATTAACGTGAGAGATTTTAAAAAATAAAAGGCATTTAAAAAAAAAAAAAAAACAACACGCAAATCTGCAAAAAGTAGCTAAAACTGGTCCCGTGGACTTTAGTACTTGTCATCTTGCTGCATATAGTGTGCCCCTGGTGGGAGAGAGACAAAGCGTGCGCACCAAAAAAGATCATGTCATTATAAATATTCCATTAACCTTACTTATCAAAATATTTGTATTTACATGGTGTTTATTAAGATTGTGTAATCTGTATAGGCTGTCTGATCTTAACAGAAGCTGTACAGATCAGGCACGCACGCGGTGCAGGCAGAGATGTTCATCTCTGACAAGGCGCTTTTATTTAATCTGTAGTCTTTAGATTTTTTACATAATGTTTAATTACTTAAAATTTCTTTCGTTTTTTTTTAATCGACAGTTTATATATAAAATGAGTGCTAGCTTGTTTAGCAGTGATAATTATGCAAGGATCATATTTCATATTCGGTTTAGCCTATTCTTCAGTAGCCTAAAGATTTGTTAATAATGTATTTTATAAACGGATCGTTTATAAGGACAAAGCTATTAATAGCTATATAATACATTAAACTAATTACTACATTAAGACATTGAAGTCAGGCAGGACAACACATCACATCCATGTAGCAAAGTACTGTTGAGTGGTATCTGTGTGTTGTATCGGCCTTTAATGTCCGATACGAGTACAAGTATTTTAACCAAGTATCAACCCGATATCTCATAGTGGTATCGGTGTATCCCTATTTCTAATATGGTGCAGCCCTATTTCAGACATCATCCTCATTTGATCTATCACTGAAATTGTTGTAACAGCGGGTGAATACTGAAATAAAGTTTGCAGTAAATCATGGAGGTCCACATGGAGGCTGAGGTGATGTTCATGAAACTACATAACTATTGACAACAATCAAAAAAGGTGGTATTGTACACAAGTAACCTAAAAATAGCTATTTGGCCATAGGTTAGCATTGGGTTTGCTTCATAAGCAGACCTCCCAAGACAAGGATAATTACTTTGAGAAAAAAATTGGTCTTTAAAATTCTAAAATGAGCATCAAGTAGAATGTAACAAAATGCATAGTAAAATGTAAAACAAAAAGTTAAGGTAACTCAAACCATTTGAGGAAACCTGTTTGCAACAAACCATTTAAGTTCAAAAACTAATCCTAATGAATAACTTAATCCATTTCAGTAAACGAAGCAATTTGAGCACAGTAAAACCCAATAAATGAAGAGAACTCAAACCAATTGAGTACTGTAAAACCCAATAAGTTAAGGCAACTCAAACCGGTTGAGGAAATTGATTGCTACAAATCATTCGAGTTAAAAACTAATCTATATTAGTACTTTGAACCTACTCCATTTAAGCTGAAGTAATGAGGTAATTAATTAACTCCTTCAAAACTCTTTACAAAAGAGTAGAATTAACGGTCAGTCAATTTTAAGTTAACTACACTCATTTCATTTGATAAAGTTGACTGTTGGGTTTTACAGTGTACTAAACAAACAGGTTCTATTCTGATTCCATGTCAATTTTAATCTATTCTTGAAAAACATAATACATTTAGCCCTTTATATGAGCTTAAATCTTTAGGAGGATTGTTGATGCTCAAACTTTACCTATATTCAAAGAAGCACACCCTAATAACACAACAGACATGTGATGTCAATGCATTGCGTTCCACACCCACCTCACACACCTGAGGCTCTTCAACTAACTTGTTCACATCCACAGTTTACTGTAGTAAGTCTAGAAACTGCTTAGATTGTGCTGTTTTAACAGTGTCTCCCCATATCAATTTCACAAACATCAATGAAACACCATCCAGAGTGGACTCAGATGTCACAAATACTGCCACCACATTTGTTTTCTCCACAGCAGGTACTATGACCACAACCAAATACATGAGGAATTCTTTAAGAATACCTTGACCTATAATTAGACTTTAAAACATGAGGTGTAAAAATAATAGCCTTCCGGTTTATAGCAAGCCATAGCCAAGAAACTTGAACGCAACACAGCCTTGAATAATGTTGAATAATTCAAGGCCATGGATACCGTAATAGTATACAGTGTGTGTATCCCATGTGTGAGGACTTTCAGAGATAAACACGCTCATTTTTCATTTTCCATCTATCTGTTAGAAATGAATTGACAGACCTACTTCATGACCTGAATATACTCAAGAGGAATGCAAGCCACATTCAACATGGGGGATAAATTGACAATAAAGGGAAAGCAGCAGTCACGGAGGTGCAAGTATGAGATTCAAACTCGAGTAGCAAGCCTCTGGACCCAAGCAGCTGGTTTCATGGCCTAAAGCATGAAGACAACATAATATTCGTAGTAGTAACATTGCATTAAAGAGTTTGAGAGTCTTAAAACTTTTTAAAAGATACTTTAAAATAATATTAAAAAACATTTTGAAGTGTATAGCATTAATATGCTCTCAAAAAGTATATTAATAAAAAAAGAACACAATCAATTGTATTTCTAACATGTCAAACTTTTAAAATATAACTTCATACCATTATGGATGAATTTATTATTCAACAAAAAAAAACTAATAATAATTACAATTTTAAAAAATGTAATATGTTTCAAATATGATAATACTTCAGACTACCCTCCTGAATATCATTAAGACACTGTCACTTCATCATAATTATCATGTTTACAAGTTTACTGCACTATATGCTGTTTTGCATTTGCACTACTCTGGTTGCACTGCTTGCCATGTCCCCTAAGTTTACATGTTTTGGTTACAAATTATTTTATTTTTTTTACTTGTATCTTTAGATTATACTATATGTGTAATTGTATATATTGTAATTTCTTTTTAAAATTCTAGTTTCTGCATTGATATTTTATGTTAGGCACCAAGGGTCTGAAAGTAACACAACTTCGCTGTTCTGTATGTCCTGTACATGTGGTTGAATTGACGAAATAGCTGACTTTGAAATAACTCAAACACTAGAATATAAAAATTACTACACTCAAAACAATATACTTTCTGATCACAATGTAAAAAACTACTTTAACTATCAAAAACAACTGTCCTGTTGTTCAAAAATACTTTATTTCTTATTAATTAAGACTGTCATGTCATTACTTTGCTTCTCAGTTGAATGTTTCTTGATTTAAGATATTTGTTAGGGCGTTATTGGAAATATCTGAGATGGCGAAATTTTGTTTTGCTGCGAAATATGAATAAAATTTCACCAGATTCAAAAATTTAGATAATCTTGGAATATCAAGTCTTTATCTATGCATAGCATCTGCATAAAATATAATAAATCACAAGTAAAAAATAAATAAATAAACAGCGCTTAATGGTTTTTTGGGAAGTCAAACAGTATTGAAGTACAGAAATTAAACAACTGAATGTAAAATAACATGGTCATTATTGTATAAATCACTTTATAACAATGATATTTAAAAATATCTTTAATAAATAATCAAATCCTGCGATGTACAAATGATATATTTTATATTTGTACTGGAAAAACCAAAATACTCAATTATGAAGATGTACATTTTACATGCAACATTAAATGCCATGACTGCCTTTAAGAGCAAATGTATAGCCTGTAAAACGGCAATATAAATGCGTCACATAGTGGGTGTGGTCTAAGAAAAAGAAAACAACCCAGATACCAGAAGTAACCCATTAATGTACTATAGGGAACATAAGGTAAGATTTGTTTGTAAGGGATATTTAGATATATCCTACATACTAGTTAATTTATCTGTCTTAAGCGGAGAAAATAAACAAAGATATAAAATAATATTTCCCTCTGAAACATTTAACGTTAACGTATCTGAAAACCAGCTCCTTAAACTTTTATTATATGCGAATAAGAAAAAATATAAAGTAAAACAAATATTAGCTCATTACAATAAATAAATATGTTTTCAAAAGAATGATCCAAGTAAAAACTCACTAAATTAAAGTTTCAATGTCAGACAAGAAGTTTGTTTCGAACAACAAACAAAACCATGACATACAACTCAAACCGATGTATTACAGCACCAACACGTCCCATTACAAAGTTAATAACATATTATTATCTCAACAATTAGGTTATATAACACTGGCTAAGGTTTAATAAATGACTTCATTCTCAAAATCACTAAACAGCGTATGAGGACATTAAATCCACTCTCTCTTTCACCTCTTGCTAAAGCTAACATGGGATGTTTACAAATCCCGGTTATTAAAAGTGAATCACAAATGGCCCATTAGGTCTGACAACATGTATCTCCCTCTAAAAAGCACTTACGTTTTATAAATAGCAGTGAAATGTGTCACTGTAGAGTATTAATACGAACAGAACTCACAAATGACTCGACGCTGCGGCTCGCGCTGAATGTGCTAAAGCTAAGCTAGCAGTGACAGGGAAATAAACCACCAAATTAAAGAAGAAATACCAAGCGCCATCTGACAGCTCACCTCACAAACTGCTTGATTGGTTAACGAACGAGTCGTCAGTACTCCGTTCCGGTTTGAAACGCCGGTAAACGCGGGTGGGCTGCCGTTCTTTCACGGAAAGAGAGCAGCGAGACGGACGTTTAATCCCTTCCTCACGCGCACCGGAAGAACTGAGCCTGTGTGCCACGTCCACATCCGGTCATGATGAAGAAGCTCTTGATGATGTAGAAGATTTAACTTTCACTTTTTGACAAATGAAATGAAACGTGACCTGAAATGAACTGCTCAGTGAATTTGTCTGTAAAGAATAGCAAGCTTTAGAAGCTGTGCTGCGCAGTTATTTTGTCCTAGACAGTAAACAAACATGTCAGCCAGGCTGTAGAAGTCTGGTTACTTTTTTTTGCTTAAAACATCAACAATATGACAACAACAATAACAATATTAATAATAAATAATGCGCTAAAAAATACTACTATTACTATTACTAATGTATGTAGGACGAAACCTGCAAAAACAATAAATAAACATCCAAATAAATGTATAAATTTATACATAAATTCCTGCATAAATAAAATAATAAATAAATAAATGAATAAATATACAAACTCATGCATAAATAAAACAAGAAGTAAATAATTACGCAAAAAAAGTTTATTCAAATCTACAAAATCCTGCATGAATAAATCAATAAATAAATAAATATGCAAATAAATGAATAAATATACAAACTCCTGCTAAAATAAAACAATAAATAAATATGAAAATAAATAAATAAATGAATAAATATATACACAAACTCCTGCTTAAATAAAACATTAAATAAATAAATATGCAAATAAATAAATAAATAAATAAATAAATAATTATATACTCAAACTCCTGCTTAAATAAAACAATAAATAAATAAATATGCAATTAAACAAATAAATGAATAAATATATACACACACTCCTGCATGAAGAAAACAATAAATAAATGAATGAATTTGCAAATAAATAAATAAATATACACACAAACTCCTGCATAAATAAAACAATAAATAAAAATATACAGGGCGTCGCAGTAGCACAGTAGGTAGTGCTGTATCCTCACAGCTAAAAGGTCACTGGTTCGAGCCCCGGCTGGGTCAGTTGGCATTTCTGTGTGGAGTTTGTATGTTCTCTCCGTGTTTGCGTGGGTTTCCTCTGGGTGCTCTGGTTTCCCCCACAATTCAAAGATATGAGGTACAGGTGAATTGGGTTGGCTAAATTGTCCGTGTATGAGTGAATGAGTCTGTATGGATGTTTCCCAGTGATGGGTTGCAGCTGGAAGGGCATCCGCTGCATAAAAGATAAGTTGGTGGTTTATTTTGCTGTGGTGATCCCAGATTATTAAAGGGACTAAATGAATGAATGAATGAATGAATGAAAAATTACGCAAATAAATGAATAAACATTTATATAAATATGCAAATTCCAGCTAAATAAAACAATAATTAAATAACTGAATAAATATATACACAGATTCCAGCATAAATAAAACAATAAATAAACAAATATGCAAATAAATGAATAAATCTATATTTAAATCTACAAATTCCTGCATGAATAAATATATAAATATTTAATAGAGTGGTGTGAAAGGGGGAAAATCTACTTTCAGTTTAGCGGTTTAGGCCCATAGCCAGCCTGGTGAAAGGGGTGTTTTTTTTCTCAAAAGGTGAAACTTTTTGCAGTTATACGCCTCAGTTTCTGTTTAACTATGAGATTTAAATACTGCATTTTTGTGATTTTTTTTCTGGGTAAACTAGTCAGATGTCATCATAACTACACTTTTTTGATGTACTAAAAATATTTCCTAAAAAATTGCAATTAAAAAATTAAAACAAGAATAATTTTTAAAATACAAATTTATTGCATCATATATCATTAGGAAAAAATAGCAATCTATTAAAGTTTTAAAATAAAAAACTGTAGCCCACTGTCATTTATTAAACAAAAAACAAACTGGCCAGCACATTCAACTGTCCAACTGTCCACATTTTGGCAATTTCCATAAAAAACAAAATAATAATAATAATGATAATAATAATAATAATAATAATATTAATAATAATAATAATAATAATAATAATAATAATAATAATAACAATAACAATAATAATAATAATAATAATAATAATAATAATAATAATAATGAAACAATAATAATGAAACAATAATAATGAATTCTTCAGAATTTTTCTAGCCCCTAAAAGTACATTTGAAAATTTCTGGATATCAACAATAGCCAAAATATATTCAAATGAATTTAATATGGTCGCTTCTGGTGCTTCACACCTTTTTATTGCTCATTTTTATTTCAGAAATAAGGTCCAAGATTTAGAATAAAAGTTCCCTGTAAAATGTTTTTTATGTTGCTTATAGTAAACATGTTTCAGTAAAAGCGCCCCTACAGGTGTATCAGGCGCAGGTCAGATTTTTTCCAGGTCATAATTCATTGTATTTATATTAATTTTGTCTAAAAAATGATTAGACCTGTCCAGTTTCATCTGGAATGCATCCAAGATCACCTTCTGAAGTGGTTTGAGCGATCGGATATCTGATCATAAAAAAAACGGATGAAGTGACCAAACAGTCTCATAAACATAGATGTGACTGGAATATATTGAATATAAATATATTATATTAACTATTAAATTATAGTATTAAATTACATTAAATAATTAAAAGGACAAATGCTGGACCTTTTGGCATAGACTGTAAAATATATTCACCTTCTGAAGTGGTTTGAGCGATCGGATATCTGATCAGAATAATACAACAAATGAAGTAAGCAAACTGGCTTAAAAACACAGACGTGACAAGAATATATATTAAATATAAATATATTAACTATATAATAAATATATTATCTAATATTAAATTACATCAAATAATCAAAAGGACAAATGCTTGACCTTTTGGCCGTGGGTAGCAAGTAACATGCTATTAGGTTATGTGACCGCTAGATGGCGTTCTTACATAATAAGAAGCTTAACACCACTAAGAGTTGGTCAGAGCAGTGTATTGTTTTCCTAGCCGGGCTCACTTTCTGTTCTAATGTCCCGCATCTGTCTTACATATACTCCTCTGTCAAAAATGTAAAAATATAGATTCAAAAGATTTAATATGTTTTTGCCCATAGCCAACCGCAACCCGCCATGACGTAGATTCCCGAGCCTGTGTGCTCCAATGAGGTGTGCTCTATTCAGCTCTCACCATGACAACGAGACTCACAGCAGTGACGTCGCCATGAGATCATTTGCATATGCATTCCTATAAAGCTCGTCGGTTCTCTCAGTGTTGTCAGGTCGCTCGGTGTTGCTGTTTGTACTTGACCAAGGTGAGTTCAACTTCAATACTTGACAGTACAAGTGGAGCCACGCCAATCTCACGAAGTCCGCTTCGTAAAGCTTCAGTCGGGCCCGTCTGTGTGCTGTAGTTCCTTGTGGTTTGCGTACTTAAACGCGGCTTGTGAATTCTAGGCAGAGAAATACAAGCCCCGAGGACCCTCAGGGAAACACGGGAGGCAGGTAGTGGGACCCCGCTGCGAGGGTTATGGTAGGTGGGAGCAGCGGGGCCCACTCATCATCTATTTTAAACGATAGTTTCAAACTTTAGTTTACTATAGTTTGAAAAAAGAGACCATGGCAACTGTTTGTTAATGTTTTAACTCTATGTCTGGCTGTTGTAATGTTTTGTTTTGTTTTTCAGCAGAGTTGTTCAGCAAAGAAGAACTATTGAAGACAACCGCGGGTTATATTCATGAGCGCGCGCATTATAATGTTTCCGTGCTGTTTTCTGAAAGTTTTTCTTGTTTAGATAAGTTTGCAGATCAAACAAAATAAACTATACTCTTTCTTAACACCTGTCTCGTGTTTTATTTGTCCTCTTCAGCAATTCACTGTCATATAAGTCTGCTGAATGCATTTGAACGCAACATGTTTTGACAGTAAAGTAGTCCAACAAATAAATAGTTGTTATAAATGTACCTTCATTAGTCAACATTTGTGCAGGTAATACAAAAGTTAATCAAAGATGTCCTAATGGTAAATGTATGGTTGTTACATAACTGTATTTAGTATTATTCAGTATGTTTAAAACCAGCAGAATATACTATATATTTAACATGTCATAAACTTACTGATATTCAAATACTTGCTTAATAAAAATGTCCTAAGAAAAGAATGGGCATTGTTTTGGTTTTATGTCAAATTATTATAGGTTTTAGGTTGAATACAGCAGATATAAGCTATATCATAATATTGGAAGTCAGAGTTATTTTAATGACCCAAAACAAGTAAAATGTCTCCCATTCAGATACTTTTAGCATGCAAATATCAAATTTAAGTATATAAAATACAGTTTCCAACAACAAAATTTTGTCTTGTGAAAATGGCCAGTGGGTGGTGAGGAAAAAAAGTTAATGTCAAGTTATATATATTTATAAAAGAAGTTGAACAAGTTGTCATAATATTTAGTCACAATGCACTTTTCTATACATTTCCATTAGACTTTTTTTTCTAAATCTATAGTTGGTAAATTGATCCCAGGTCAATATTTACTTTGTCTAATGAAGGTGCATCTGAAAGGAAATTTTCCTATGTTCAGATTTCTACTTTTGCTTTGGTTTTATCTTTGTCCTATGCAGTGCATGATCTGGCAACAAATTACAGTACAAACAGCAAAAAATAAATAAATAAATACATAAAATAAAATTATAAAAAAAAAAAATTATCCATAGTTTACATCAGAACATCTCTGCAGATGTTTTATTAATATTGCACATATTCTTTTATAAAAATAGTGTATACATAATTAGGTTTTATATTTTTGGCTTAATATTTAGTACTTTTTAGTCTACTCGTTTTGATGTAAAAAATTAAAAAAAATACTTTTTTAAGTCTTTTTTTAAAACAGTGAATTAAATTCAGTCTTATACAGGACTACATGCAAAGGATGTTTTAATGGCCCAGTTGGGCCAGTGGTATAGATCAGGGGTTACCAAACTTTTTAGCCCGCATCAGTCAGTCTTCATATTCTTCTGCAGTCTCCATGTTCTGTTGCATCCCAGAATAATACACAGCACCAAAAAATGTAAAAATATATATTCAATTTTTCTCCCAACATCTGTGTAATGTATTTATTAATCTGCTGACACTGTTTATATATTTATTTATGCAGGAATTTGTAGGATATATATATATATATATATATATACATATATATATATATATATATATATATATATATATATATATATACACACACACACACATACATACATACATACACACACACACACACACATTAAATTATTGTTTTATTTAAGCAGAAATTTGTGGATTTAATTTTTTGGTTTTATTTGTTCATAATTGTTGTGAAATGTGCATTCTTGTACTACGTTTGTACATAATTACAAAAATACTGACTATTATTAATATTAATAACCATAAAAACAACGATGATGTTGAATGAATAAATCAGCAAAATAATTTGATAATAATAAAAAATAAAAAAATAGTCTTAAAACCAGTAATTCAATAAATAGTCAAATCGGAATTATCTTACAAAGTAATATTGACCGTGTTGACGAGCACACATACATACATCAGTGGCTTTTATTTTGAAGTACGTATCTTCCGGTAGGCTGGGTAGCTGTTTTCTTCTCCACACCTCAGACTTTAGTGTTTCTGTTATGGACTGACAGTATCGAGGCCTGTGGATTTAACATTTTCCGAATTTTAGAAACACCACCCCTGTCTGGACAGATAGTGGCGGGGATGCGGCATCGACATGGGAAATCTTTTCGGGAAAAAGAAAGCAACTCGGGTGACCGAGCAAGACAGAGCTGTGCTGGTGTGTTTGAAAACTGCTAACTGGCTAATCATTATGATTAGAGAACTTGTATATGTAAAACTCGGGTGTTATATTATCTTAATATGTTTATGTGTTTAAATTTGTATATCTTCAGGAAACGCACCTAAAGGACCGTTAGTCTACATATACCTCTCATTTTTAATATTAATATTAAATGTGTCACTTATTTATGTGTGTGAGCAGCAACTGAAACAGCAGAGAGATAAACTGAAGCAGTATCAGAAGAGGATCACGCTTCAGATGGACAAGGAGCGACAACTGGCCAAACAGTTACTGAAAGATGGCAAGAAAGAGTGAGTACAGTCATGTATGACTTACTGTGACTTGTAGAACTAGAAGGTCAAGCTTTTCATAAAAACTACCTTCTAATGTTTTGTGTGTATAGTAAAGCACTCCTACTCCTGAAGAAGAAACGCTACCAGGATCAGTTACTGGAAAAGACAGAAAATCAAATTAGTAACCTGGAGCGAATGGTAAATAAAGCATTTTATGCTGAGGACATGATGAATGACACATGTTGACAAGACTGCAGCATTTATTGTATTTCTTTATTTTGGTTTTTACAGGTACAAGATATTGAATTTGCACAAATAGAGATGAAAGTTATTGAAGGATTGAAAGTTGGCAATGATTGCCTAAAGAAAATGCATGAGGTATGTAATGAGAAATGAGTTATACTTCATCACGTTTAGTACAATGTACTGGTAAATTTCACTTCACTTAACGTTTTTTTTGTAACCAGGTGCTGTCTATAGAGGAGGTGGAGAAAATCATGGATGAAACACATGATGCCATTGAGTATCAGAAGGTACATTTTACTTCTCACAATGTGAAAGGACCCCTTATATACACTGAGCTATACACTGACTGGGGTCCAACTGGGTACCTCTTTTGCATTTTTCCATACAAATAATGTTGTCAACATAATTATTGGAGTTAAAAAGCTGAATCAAAAAAATCTATGAAAAAATATTCATAAAATAAATTTAAAAATCCCAAAAGAAAACCTGGCTATTGAAGGAGCTTGCAAAAACTGTCACAAACTATTTCTTCATTTGACAGTCACATTGTAATGTTTTACATTTCTCATTTTATTTTGTTAAATGAAAAATTCAATGTGAATTTTATTGAAATATTTAAAAGCTTAAAATCTATTAAAACTAATCATTCAAATATAACATTCTAGTTGTCAAGCTCTAAAAATGTTAAGTAGAAATCATTATATGTAATTTAACATAAAAAACATTTAACTCAAAAACTAATCAAAAACTGAAATGTATCATTTATTATTAATAAAGCGGAAAAGTATAAACTTATATTTTATATTTCAAAAACTTTAGTAAAAATGAAACCTAAATATAGATGAAATTCTGTTTAACACATACATTTATGCAAATAAAATAAAAAAAAACTTTATGTGATTAAGCTAAATAAGTACAGGATTCTGTATTTTTTGATGTTCTTAAAAATAATTTATTTTGACTATTGGAGCCCTTAGAGAAGGGGTCACCAAACTCGTTCCTGGAGGTTTGGTGTCCTGCAGATTTGAGCTCCAACCCTAATCAAACACACCTGAACAAGCTAATCAAGGTCTTAAGCTGTGGTCACATTAGAGTTTGAGCAAACGAAAGGGGCGGGATTAAACAGACTTATTAGACATTTTTAAAAGCGAGCGATTGCTCCATGTTTTAAATTTCGTCCAGAGATGTCATGTTTTGATCCTCGATTGGTCTCACGCAGTCAAGTGATGCGATTTCGCAGGTCAGAGTTCACCAAGCTTGAACTTTGAATCTCAGCAACCTGCGAAACTTGATGCATGACCCTGCGTTTCCGGTCTGACGCATTCGCGTGCATATGAATGGAAGTCTATGGGAGAAAAAGCCCAGTGTGACTGCAGCTTTACTAGGTATACTTGAAACACCCAGGCAGGTGTGTTAAGGCAAGTTGGAGCTAAACCCTGCAGGGCACCGGACCTCTAGGAACGAGATTGGTGACCCCTGCCTTAGAGTCTTACAGGTGGAGAAGCTGATCCTGAAGTACTGACACGCAGCTGCATCCAACTCTAATGCCCAGTTCAGACTGCATGATTTTAGCCCTGATTGTTGACTCGCCGTCAGGTTTTGAGAAATCGCAGACAAATGCCTGAAATTTCAGGCAAATCGGTGCTCATTCACGTTAGTAAGAATCACACAGTGTGAACTATCAAGGAAGCAATATGAGAGAATCGCAGATGAGTCGCAGAGATATTTGGCATGCTAAATATCTGGACCTGTCGGCGATTCAAATCATGCCGTGTAAAATGAGTTCTGATTGAAAACAACATTGGCGATTGCCTACAGCCAATGAGAGAGCAGAATCCACTAGTATGGGTATCTGCAGGCCAGCGGGAGGTTTGGGGAGAAGTTAAAAGCGCTCATTTTCAGTTCATTTGGACCCAAGAAATGGAGAAAAAGCTATTGTAAATTTGGTAGGAGCATCCGTGTCTGTTTGATGTGTCATCTGAGCAATATCACAACCGGGTCAAAGTACAAAAAAAAAGTTGAGGAGAAATTGCTAATTCTCTTCAAATGCTGGGTGAGCAAAATAAGTACATTTTAAAGCTGAAGCCTTCTTTTTCCATCGTGTAGTTAGTAACGAAAGATATATTACGTGACCTCGCATTGTTTCCATGTCACTTCTCGCGTTTATTTGGTTGTGCTTGGACAAAGTTGTAGTAGGCAATTCTCCTATTGTAAAGTCATGCAGTGTGAATCACCCTGTCGCCGATCCATCCTACAGTGTGAACACAGCACAGACAGAATGCTACTCTAGATAGTCATGCAGTGTGAAAAGACTACTTTAAAAATCATGCAGTCTGAACTCTCCATAAGACACACTGGATCTCTTCGCATTGCTCTTTCTTTCTCTATGAGCGATCTAGAAGTGTTTGCTTTAAAACTCTCATTGCCTTTGTCTGTTTGTATGCAGCAAATTGATGAGATGCTGGCAGGATCTCTGACCCAGGAGGATGAGGAGGCTGTGCTAGCAGAGCTGGAGGCCATCACTCAGGTCTGGCGGCAACACACTCCAACAGCCTTTATTCTGATGTTGTGTTTCCGTTTGTGTTTTACACATCCTGTGTGTGTGTGTGTGTGTCTGTTTAGGGAGAAGCTGACCTTGAACTTCCTGAGGTGCCTGGAGAAGAGCTACCAGAGGTTCCAGAGCAAGAGCCAGGTCTGTTTTCTTCCTTATTTCTGTATAGAAATACTATGTATACATTAGTGTTGCCAGAATCATTGATGTTTTTTAATATTCCAGAGTTTTTAAATGGCTCAGTTCACAATTGCAGTTGCAACTACATGTATGTTTCAGATAAGAACACAATGCTCATGCATTGTTTGTGCATCTTTCTGTCTTACAAATACAAAAGTTGAGCTCTGTTACATGTTCCTGCACTTCACTGGATAGTCTAAATATGTCTAATAACATAAAAACCAGATAAAACCCCCTAACTTTAATCCCAGTTTTTGAGATTTGGAATCTGAGCATTCAAATTAGAAAAAATATAAAAATGTTGAAAAATCAACTTTAAATTTGTCTATATGTGGTGCTTGCAGAAATGCACATGACTAATAAAAAAGGTTTTGATATATTTACAGTTGGAAATTTACAAAATGTCTTTACTTAATATTATAATAACTATTTGAATAAAAAGAAATGGCACAAAGTCGATAATTTTGACCCATAAAATATTATATGCATTTTATTTATAGTTCGCCACAATAAGTTACATTTTGAATAGTTTATATATATATATATATATATATATATATATATGTATATATATATATATGTATATATATATATATATATATATA